TGAGTCCTCACTCTCTCACTAAGCACTTATTAAGCACCTACTGTGTGCCAAGGACTTTGCCAGGCCCCGGGGATAAGGACAAAAGTGAGACAGCCCCTGCCCTCAAAGAGCTTACATTCTATGGCAGGAGACCACATGCGCGCACATACATACGCACATACGTGTGTATATATGCATACATATGTATGTATATCTATAGACAGCTCTAGAAAGGAACACAAAACAGATTGAGATAACAATGGGGGGAGGTGGTGCCAGGCACGGGGCAGGAGTTGGGGGGAATAGTGTCAGGGACCAGATGGCGACTGAGCTGTGTCTTTAAAGAAGCCAGGCGTGCTAATCAGGGATTCTCACTCACCGCCTTCAGTTTCTTCACGGCATCTTCACACACATGCATGCCTCGAGACTCTTCCACCTCGACATGACCAAGGTACTGGGGGAGGGAGGAAGAGGGCCAGGGTGGTACCTCCAGCACGCACCGTCTCAGTTCCTGTCTCCCCAGTCCCCTATCCCCTGCTGGTCCATCCTGCCTCTCACCTCTCCCTCTCTGTTTTCTCATCATCTTCCTCTTCACCTCTCTGTTCCTCCCCATGCCCCACCTCTTCATGGGCTGGGCTTGGAGCCCGGCTTTCAATTCTACCTGAGATTCTAACTAGCTATATGACCCTGGGTGGGTGGATTAACTGCATTTCACCTCAGTTTCCTCATTTGTAAAATGGGGATAATAATAACACTCCCGATCTCACAAAGCTATTGTGAGGATCAAGTGAGATGAAGTATGTAAAACACTTTGCAAAGCTTAATGAGCTATGCAAATATCATGTAGAGCAATCATCCCCATCTCTCCATCCCTTCATCCCTCCTGCCTCCATTCCTTCATTCCTCATCTCTCCATTCCCATCTTCCATCTCTCCTCTCCATCCCTTCATCCCCATCTCTTCATTCTCATCTATTTTCCACCTCTTTTCTCTCCACTTCTTCATTCTTCTTCTCTCCATCTCCAACTCTCCATTCCTTCATCCCCATCCCTCCATCCCTTTATCCCCATCCCTTCATCCCTCCAGCCTCCATCCCTATCTCTCCATCCCTTTATCCCTCCTGCTTCCATTCCTTCATTCCTCCTCTCTCCATCCCTCCATCCCCATCTCTCCATCCTCCATTCCCCACACCCCCAGTCTTTTATCTCTCCCCCATCCTTTATTTCTTCATCCCTTCATCTCCCATCTCCTCAGTCCTTTCATCCCCCATCCCTTCGTCCCTCATCTTATCCTGGACATAACCTCAAGCTGGGTTGCAGATTGTCAGAGCTAGCAAGGACCCTGGAGTCATCCAGCCTAATCCCCTTGTTTTACATATGGGGAAACTGAGCTCTAACAGTGAGAGAGAGAATTTGAGTAGGGCCTGACCCACACAGGACAGGGACTGACCATTGCTCTCCCAACTCCCCTGGGAGCCCAGAGCTCTTGCCCAGCAGATGTTCCCAGGGCCCCGCCCTGGTGCCCCCCACTCTCACCCTGACTGGGAAGCTGCACTTGCCCTTCCGAACGGCATCCTCATCGGCCTGCCATTGGTGCGGGCGGGAAGCCTCGGGGACGTAGGCAGGCTTTCTGCGCCGTAGGCTCTGACGCAGCTTGTTCATGGTGCCAGCGCCGTCTGGGGGCAAGGAGGGTCCTCAGTGTCAGGGGTCAGGGGTTGGAGCATCAGTTTTGGTGAAATGGGGGGATAGTGATTGTGGGGGGTCTTAGTTCTGGGCATGTGGCTTCCTGTGGTTGCATCTGCCCAAGGACCACGGAGGAGGCAGCTGAGAGGCTCAGATACCATATGCATCATATCTACTCCTGACGGGTCACTAGCCTTCCCCAGGCAGGGTGCAAGGTTTTCCATGGACTATAGACTTTGCCTCCCTCCCAGCTCCCTTCTAAGACACCTCCCTCAGTCTCCCTGGCAGCCATGGGATTTCCCCAAGCCCTGCTCCCCATTAGACTCTGTTGCACTCACTCACCGGGCTCCGTCCTGAAGGTTTGGGGGGGCCCCAGGGCCAGGCGAGGAGGGGCTGAGGACAAACGCTGATCGGCCCGCCTGGGCCTTTCCTGCCCAGACACAGGACCAAGCCGTGAGGGCCCGGGGTTCCCCTATCTCACGGGGCTCCCCTTGCCTGGAACACACTAACCCCTGCTCCACCTCTGTGACCTATGGCATAGGCCCCTGTAAGGGACCAAGGAGGCCTGCCCCTTTTGCCTTGGCCTGCCTGACTCCTGCCCTGGTTGCTATAGCAACAGTTACCAGGGAGACCATCCCATGGTTATGAGGCCCCAGGAATGAGGGGGTAGGGGGGTGCTGTACCCTCCTAGTTACCCCAGTTATCTCCCAGGGACATCCCTTTTCATGGGCCTTGCTGACAGTGGCCCATTTAGCTTATATCTTAGATAGGGTATGGGCCCAGAAATGAGCATGGCTCAGCCCCTTAGGGGAAAAGAAGGTGCTGGGAGCTTTGGGGGTACAGAGGAAAAGCCTAGGTCTGTTTCAACTAAGACACACCCTGAGCGAGACAGACACTGTCCCAGGGGGCCAGCCACACACAGACTGGGTGACAGAGCTGCAATCCCACAGGCACCCATAGTCCCACACAGACAGGCAGTCACACAAACCCAGCACACAGACACGCTCAGAGGCCTGTAAGCTACAACCACCCCGACACACAGCCTTAGCCATTAGCCACACATGATTGCAGACCCACAAACATACAGGCATAGACTCCCACCAGCAGAACATAGACAGTCACAGAAATCTACAATGATAGCGGCAGAGGATACAAGATCACACATGATCCCTCACACACAGGCCCAGGGAGAGATCACCAAACCCACATAGGTACAGACACCATCCCAGCCACACAAGCACATAACAACAGCCACAGAAGACACACACACACAACCGGCAAAGTCACAACCTGTCTCACAGCCAAACACACACACAGAGGCACAGACACACAAGTGCCCCCACAGACACACGAGTCCCCTAACCTATCTGGAAGTCATACCACACACACACACACACACACACACACACACACACACACCAGGACGATCACACAGGGACACCCAAGAGCAGGCAGGGGCATCCATCCTGCACAGCTGGCTCTGAGGGCAGGGGGCTAGTGATGCTAAAGGTGACAGGTGACAGGGAGATGCCTCTGGTCCCCCCTCTCCATGGGCCTCCTGGGTCGGGTCGGGTCGGATCGGACCGGATGGGGGCGGGGGGAGGCAGGCCTGCATTGTCCGCGGGCAGGGCCCTTAGGGAGTCGCCTTCACAACAGCTGGGCTGAAGCCGAGGGCAGCCCGGGTGGGGACAAAGGGGCGGGGGCTGGACGGGGCGGGGGCGCTGTCTTTGCGAAGCCCCCTCCCATCCCCGGGCCTCCTCGCAGAACCCCAGTCCTCGAGTCTCCCCTTCTCCGAGTCCTCCTCGGGGTCCCTTCATTCCTGGCTCCCCCCATCTCATCCCATCCCATCCCACCCCATCCCACCCCACCCCATCCCATCCCAACTCATCCCATCCCATCTCGGCCCAGCCCCACCACGCAGGCCGCTTACTGCGCTCGCTCCGCTCCTCTCGGGGGCTGCCGCCGCACTCCGGGACATCCAGGGGCCCCGGCGCCCCCGCCTCCCGCGGACCCCGGCGGGCCCGGCTTCCCTCCAACCCCGGCCCGGCCCCGGGACAGCTCTGCAGCAGCGGCGCCGACTGACGGAGTCCGGGCACAGGGACGGAGGCCGGGGGATGGTGGGGGCCGCACACGCACGCGCCTGCTCGGCTCCCGGGAGGATTCCATTGGGGGGGCCACCCCCCCTCGCCCCAGCCCCGACTCCCCCTCACAGCGCCCCCTTCGCCCTCAAAACCCCGCCCCCGTCCCCGCCCATTGGCCCGCCGCCCGCTCCATATGCAAAAGAAGACCTAGCCCTCCCGCCGCCACGTCCGACCCAGCCGCCGGGCCACGCCCCGTGCCCCCCACATTGGCCCGCTGCCCGCTCAATATCCCCAACGGAGCCCACCCCCCCCCACTGGCCCACAGCCCACTCAGTACGTAAAAGACACCGCCCATTGGCCCAGCGCCTGCTCAATATGCAAAACAGTCCCTCCTCCCCCTGCGCTCCTAGACCCCGCCCTGGGCCGCCCCCCGAAAATGTTTGTCAGTAACAGTTGCTTCTTCCAGGCCTTGCCCAGCCAATCCCCGGGTTCCGCTCCATGGTGCCCTTTGACTCCAGGACTCCTCAATCGGGAAGCCCACAATAGCTTCTCTTGTCCACCCTCTAACCCCGAGCCCCACAACTTGGGGTGGGGGGCGGGAGATTTGAGGACACATTTTTAGATGGCGGGGTGGATCAGGGTTCTGGGAATCTTTCTGGCCAAGCCTGTTTTTAGGGCCCTCACCTGCTCCTGCAGCCCCTCGGTGCTTGGGGTAACCTTCGTTGCGGAGGAGTATGTCTGGGAAAGGCAACACAGCCTTTGGGAGGTGGGTGGGGTTGTTTGCGGCAGCTCCGGGCCCCCCTTATCCTGTGGGCTTGGCAACTGCTGCCAGGCCTCAGCATTAAGATCCATTAGCAGGCTGGTCTGTTCAACCAAGCTAGCTTCCTTTGGGCAACAGTGAACAGAGAAGTGACCCTGCCTTAGACGACTCTCATTACACCCCCAACCCTCTTCGTCTTCTCTAGTCCCCAGGGCCCAGCTGTGCCCCCTGGGTGTCCCCCAACCCTACCAGAGGAAGCTGGGATATTGGGGGGGGTTGGGGCCAGTCTGTCAGCTGGCAGAGCAGGTGGCCAGCACGTGGGGGGCAGGGAGGTTGTCCCTTTGGCAACAGATGGTTGGGGGCTTGGGCTTTTCACGACTTGGGGGGAGGGGGAGAGGCAAGCCCAGCCAGGCCATCTGCACCTGGAGTCCCCACTCCCAGAAGCCTCGCCCATCTTTTCAACCCCACTCCACCCCCAGTCCCAGAAAATGAGAAGGGGTAGGAGAGAGGGAGGGTGGTTCCCCTTTATTTAGGATATCACTGAATGCACTGCCCATTGGGCCTGAAGACAGCTGGTGGGGGTGGGAGGACCTAGGCATACAGGCCATCTGGAACTCCACTCCCTTAGATGGGGGCTGGGTTGGGGCTCAGAACTGGAGGGAGAGAGGGTAGTCAACTAAGTTCCAGAGTGTATGTGTGTGGGGGAGGTCCCTGAGGGCTCCCCCTGGCCTAGCTGGAAGTAGCTGGAAGCCCTGTGGACCAGCAGAGACAGATGAGTCTCAGATCTAGTAAGGGGCTCCCTGGAGGTCTCTGGGAGCTCTTGGGGTGGTCCCAAGGTGAGTCACTGAAAAGACCCTGAGGGCTCCTGCATCAGGTCCTTGGGTCCTGGAGTGAGGGCTGGGGACTGATTCCTGGAGGGCCAGAGTTAGCCTGAGGGGCGGGGAGCCCAGTAATGCTCATAGACCTCATGGAACAAGTCCCCACAGGGGATGTTGGCCCCGAGTCGGGCACAGGCCAGGAAAGCCCCAGCCAGCTTTCGGTGAAGGGCGTAGGTCTCCTCCGGTGGGGGGCACAGCCGATGGCGAAGCATTATGGGGACCAGATCCTGCACTCGGCGTGCCGTGTCCCCTGCCCCAAAATCATAGGGGCCAGCACTGGCAAAGGGCTCCCCTAGGATCATGACCGCTTCCACATGGGCCTCTGAGAATGCCTGGAGGAGTGGAAGAGAAGAGTTAGGAAGGCTTTGGGGGGCCAGGCACCTGACCCGCCCCCACCTCTCCCAATTACCCTCACCTTGGTTTCCAAACCCGTCAAGAACTTCAGGTCTTGGGATTTCTTTAGGACCCGAGCCCGGTCACCCTCTGCAGCAGCCTTTACCACCTGGGGATTTGGAAAGAATGACCCAAGCACAGTCAGAGGGGTCAGGACTGGGGCAAGGGGGGGGGGGCGCTCTGCTCTCTCTGGGCAGATTATACCTGGCTTCTGAGCCCCTCACTGGAGACACCTTCCCTTCCCCTCCTCCAGGGGTCTTTCCTTCAGGAGGGCCTGAGGGTTACCCTCCTCTCCATAGGGCACTGCCCCTGCTGACCTCCTCTGGCTTCCCAGGGGAGAACCCAATCTAACCATGGCTCCTCTCCCAGTCTTCCCTGCTTTTGGAGGGCTAGGGAGAGGGGAGCAGGGAAGCAGCTGGTCTCCAGCCAGATTGCCCAAATTCCAGGAGAGATCAGAGATAAGTGATCCAGGACAGAGTGCCTTAGAGGTAATCACTCCAACCCCCTCATCTTGCAGAGGAGGAAACGGAGGCCCAGGGAAGTGAAGGGACTTGGCCAAGGTCATTCAGGCAGGAAAGCCTCAGAAGGGGGATCTGACTTGAATCTGTACTTCTCCCCCTGCCCCCTTCTAGAGAGCCAGAACTGCATTTCAGAGGTGGGGAAGGGCCTCAGTGTTAGCTGGTCCCTGGCCAGACAGGCACCCATAGGAACCACGTGGGGGTGGGGGGAGCAACTCTATTCTTATCTGCACCCCCTCTCCTTCTCCACAGCCACCCCGTTCAGCCCGACCCACACCCCCAAGCGTCACGCTTAGAGCTCATGATTTAGCCTCCCACTTTGCTGAGAAAATGAAGGCCATCTGACGGGAACTGCCTTCACTGCCCTCCCGTGGCCTCCTCCACACTCCTTGGCTCCCAGCACCCACGGCTTCCCTCTGCCCACAGACAGAGTGCATCATCCCTGCTCTGCAGGGGGGCTCATCCCCTGCCAGCCTGGGGCAAGGCACGCGCCACTGGGAGACCGGCCCTGGGCTCCAATCCGAGCTCTGCCACTGGGTCCTGGCAGGGCCAGTGCGGCATGTCACACATGAAGATGACACAGAACAGGAAGGCAGAGGACCTGGGTTCAAATTCCAGCTGGGCCACCCACATATATCAAGTCCTGTCGCCTTTCTGTGCCTCAGTTTCCCCATCTATAAAACGAGGAGTCTCGATTAAATGACAGCCTCCAAGGTCCCTTCCAGCCCTGACGCTGTCATCCTTCTGCCCCATCTCTCTTCGGGATAATGTCTGCCACTGCAGTCCACACCACCCTCCCCACTCTCTGCTGCTGCTGTCGAGTCATATCTGACTCTTTGTGACTCCATTGGGGGTTTTCTTGGCAGAGATACTGGGGTGGTTGGCCATTTCCTTCTCCAGCTCATTATACAGATGAGGAGACTGAGGCAAACAGGGTGAAGTGACTTGCCCAGGGTCACACAGCTAGGAAGCATCTGAGGGCAGATTTGAACCCTGTAGGCCAGAGTTCTGTGCACTATGGCGCCCCCTGGCTTACAACCCTTACAACAGCTCTGCTCAGGCCCCTGCAACCTAATCTGGCTTTCTCCCTGGCTGTTCTACTGAACATGCTGTGACCAGGGCCACCAAGGAGCCCTTAGCCACCCAAACCTCTTGGTCATTGGCCTCTGCCCACCGTGCCAACCACCCCCAGCTTCTCTCCTTCTGGACGCTCTCCCCCAGGGCTTCCCAGTAGGCGCTTAATGAATGCATACTTTGAGTTCAGACCTTGGTTTCTGGTGGGCCTTCAGGTCAGTGTCTCTTCAGATCCTGGGCTGTGCCCTCTTAACCCACCCCTTGCCAATTCCTAGGACTTCAGACTCTGCCCTCTATGCACATGTCTCTGGGAGACTCTCGAACCACGTCCTCTCTCTCCCCCTGTGGACGTCTGGATAGCACTTCAAAAACCCAACATGACCACCTCTCCCCCCAATGCCGGCAAGAACCACAAAGGACGGAGGCTGTCCCTTCCATAAGGCATGGAGTAGGGAAGGTGTGGCAGGGAGAACTCCCACCACCTCTGCTCAAGGTGCACGTGGATCTGCCTCATGGAAGACAGGAGCGAGGGGCCTGAGGGCATTCTCCAGGTCACAGGGATCCATAAAGAACAGTTACAGTGTGGAGACAGGCAAGGACACCCTCTGCCAGGGGCGGGAAGAATGCTGCACCAGGGAAGGGGCTGAGCAGTCACATGCCAAGGGACGAGCTTGGAAGCTGGCTCCAGGCCTCGCCCCATGAGGCGGCCCTGGCCAGGCCTCCAAGGCTGCAGGTGCCATCTGACTGTCCCAAAGGAAGGAGCAGAGGAGGAGGGGGGCGGGTTTTTTGGGGGGGGGGGGGGTGGATCCTTGTTGAGGCCCTGCGAGGTAGTTGTTCATCAGTCTGATAACCACAAGAGAGAGGTCCAGCGTCTGAGATTCAAGATCTGTCTGAGAAGAGGGGAAGCCTTGTTGGATTGGGTGACCGCTGCCCACCTCGGGTAATTCATCTGGGCACAGAGTATAGAGTAGCAGAAAGGCTGGGAGCTCTTTGGGGCACAGGTAGTGTCCTCATCACTGGCCAGAAGGAGTGAGCGCCCGGTGGAGAAGATGAAAGCTTGGTGGCTTTCCAGACCATGGCTTATAAAAAGCAAGGCCAAGCTTTGGGCTGAGGGGACAGTGGTCTGTTCTCTGTCACCTTGGTGCCAGGGTATCCCCGCCCCTCCTGGCAGTGTCACCCAGGGCTCTCTCCTGGGCCCTCCTCTCTCAGTGACACGTTCTCAGCTCCACGGGTTTCCAGGGTCATCTCTAGGTACATGACTTCCAAGTCCACCTGGATCCTCTTCTCTCCCCTAAGCCCCAGTGCCACATCACCAGGACCGGCAGGACCACTGCCCCTGGATGCATCCTGGGCACCCCAAGTCAAGCGGCTGCAGACAGCACTCCATCCCTCATCTCTGCCCCCTTCTTTCTGCTGGCCTTGTCACCTCTCCAGCTCGCTTCTTGCCTGAAGTTAGTGTGTCTCCTACCCGGCTTCCCTGCTCCCAGGCTCTCCCCTCCCCAGACTGACCTCCACACAAGCTAGCCCCGATTCCCGCGCCCAAAGCAGAGCTCTCGTTTGTGTGAGAATCGTTAGTGGCTCCCTGCTTCTTGTTTCTGAGACAGACCATCCCTTCCCCGCTTTGGCCCCCGAGGCCTTCCCCACCTGGCTCCGGCCTGGTGCTGTTCCTGAAGATGCTGTGATTTGGAGCAGCTCCCACTGGACGCAGACCTGCCATCTCTGCCCTCCACGCCTCCCTCCAAAGGAAGCCGCAGGTGCCCCCGCTTCCAGAAGGCCTTTATTAACCCCCAGGAGCTTGGAGCTCTCAATCATCAAGAAATGGTTTTGGCAGCAGATGGCCCAGTGGAGAGAGTGCTGGGCCTTGAGGTACAAAGATGTGGGTTCAAATCCTCCTGTCTCAAACACTTACTGGCTGTGTGACCCTGGGCAGGTCACTTTATCTCTCTCAGCTTCAGTTTCCCCAACTGTAAATTGGGGTTCCAAAAGCACCTCCCTCACAGGATCACATGAGATTATATTTATAAAAGGTGCTTAGAAGAGAGCCTGGCATACAGTAGGTGCCACATAAATGCTTGTTCCCTTCCCTTCCCTCACCTACCTCCCTAGGCTAGTGCGAAGATCAAGTTCAATCATATTTATAAAGTACTTTGTGAACCTTTAAGAGCCTCGGGATTGCCGTCCCATCCTTTGGCATTGCCCCTATTGATCTGCTCTGGCTTCCAAAGAGGGATCCCTGCTCTTGGGCGGCCAGGGAAACAGCCCACCCCCAGCCAGACTGCCCAAAGTCATCATTAATCTACATTCATTTTACAGAGGAGGAAACTGAGGCCCATCAAGCCTAAATACTAGCCTCTGCTTCTCTTACTTACTTATCTGTCTCCCCCCAGCAGCATGTAAGCTCTTGGAAGGCTCTTACACTCCCAGTGCCTAGCACAGGGCCAGACACACAGCAGTTGCTGAACTCAATGTCCCTAATAAGGGATTCCTGGAGCAAACAGAATTAAAGGGGCCAGAATCTGGAAAGGAAGGGGGTGAGGTAGGGAAGAAACATTCGGTACTGCCCCACGATCATCTCCAGATGTCACAGAGAGAAGCTACCATGTGGAGACACCCAGAATTTCAGAGGAGACAAAATCCAGGAAAGATGCCCGCAACAGAACACTTGCCCTCAGATTTCCAGGCCCAGATGCCTCCAGGAAAGCTAATGAGCGAGGTGAGCCAGTGATCCAAAAACGGGATGCAAAGGGGAGCCCTTTGAATGGACTTCAGGTCCGGGGGTTAGAGCTCAGGAACAGAAGAGGTGGGTAGAGGGACCATCAGAGAGTGACAGGAAACCCAGAAAAGAGGTGGAACAGGGTGGAGGGCATTTGGGCCCAGAGCCAAGGAGGTAGAAAAAACAGCTGTGCTGCAGACCACCCGAGGAGAAAGGGGAGGCTGAGGCAAGTTCAGCACAAATCTGGTGCTGAGGCCTGAGAGGGCCGGGACAGGGGACTTCAATGAGCCAGAGATCTGCAAGGGCATTCTCGCCGTCAAAAACAAGGCAGCAGTAACTCCTTTCCTGGCCTTGACAAGGACTCCCTTCTGGAAAAGGTGGAGGCAGCCTTAGGGAGGATCTGGTTGCTGGGTGGACATGACGGGAACCTGCGGGAGGGTCAGGGGAAGGACTAGGGGAAGGCCCACTCCACCACACAGGATTTTTTTTTTTTGCGCTAGGCAATGGGGTTAAGTGACTTGCCCAGGGTCACACAGCTAGTAAGTGATATATGTCTGAGGCCAAATTTGAACTCAGGTCCTCCTGAATTCAGGGCTAGTGCTTTATCCAATGCACCACCTAGCTGCTCCCCCCACCACACAGGTTTTGAGAGAGAATGGGAAAGCAGAACATGGGGTGCCTCCTGGACGAGCAGAGATCAAGGTTCAGGGAAAGGACAGGAAGCATCTCGTGGCCCATGACTCTGCGGAGGGACAGCAATCTCTCAGGAATGGACTTCTGGAGACACAAAGAGAAGCAAGGCCAATGAGGCCAAGAGAGCCATGGCTAAAGAGAACCCCATAGCCCCGTCAGAAACCTACGGAAAAAGTGAGATTGTAAAGAGAAGACGGATTCCCAATAGAAAAGTGCGCCAAGGATTTGAGCAAAGGGATGTCCAAAGAAGAGCTGTAGCTATTGTTAAGAGCAAACCAAAACAAGCCGTGGGCTCTACCGCACCTTTGTCAGTCGGTGGTGGAGGGGCTGTGGCAAGATGGGTGCACCGGTGCATTGTTGGTGGAGCTGTAACTCATGAGGTACAACCCTTCTGAAAAGCAATCTGGAATTATGTAATTAAAGTGACTAAAATGTCCATAGGCTTTGATCCAGAGGTTCTTCTGCTACGTCAAAAACCAGGCGCCACGGATACCACTGAGAGGAGAGCTCTTCAGGGTAAATATGGTCAAAGAAAAAGTCACTGCCATTGACTTGGGAATGGCTAAACAAGCTGGTCTGTGAAGATGATGGAGTACGTCACTTCTGTGAAGAAGTGACGACGAGATGAACATGGAGAAGCCTGGAAACGCTACCATGAACTGATGCAGAGTGAAGGGAGCACAGCTGCAAAGACCACCCCCCACAAAGCCACCCAAATGAACTGTTTCCAAATGAGAACGAGCTGGCCCGGCTGCGAAGGTGAGCTCGGAGGAGCACTGCCGGCCCGGCCGCCTGGGCCAAAGGCAGGGTGAGAGGATGCAGAACGCTGCATAGCGTTGTTCGCGAGAACAGACTGCCCCCCCCCCCCCCCCCGCCCCGCCCCAGTCTGAAAGAGTTTTAGAAAGAATGCATGAGCTTGCTTGGTGAAGGGGGTGTGGCTCTTTCTCTCCAGGCTCGGGATTCTTAGCCACATGGCTAAGAGAAGCCACCCAGGGGGCAACATGAAAGCAAAGTCGATGGAGAGGGAATGGGAAATGCAGATGTTCAGCAGAATTTGGACAAAGCCAAAACACAAGCTTGGGTGGGCCCACCTCCCAAGTCCTGCATGTGGTCACCCCAAAACAAGAATGACTTGGGCAGACCCAGGACCCAGGGGAGCTCAAAACACTTTGTAAGTATCTCTAGCATTCTTAGAGAGTGAGTGGGGTCCAGTGACATTCTGGGTGTGGACAACCTTTGATCATATAGGATTGGATTTAAAGAATATGACAATTTGTCCAAATAATATGATAAATCATTTTTCCTACAATGTTAGATTTTTTTAGAGGTCTCTATTGATTTTGCTGACTTTTTTCCCTCTTCTTACTCCTTCTTTGGGAGGGGGACAGGGGAGTGAAGTGGTCACACCCTTGCCTTGGAAGACTATTTTTTCAGCCGGGTGGAGACAACAGTAGTCTCGGCACAGGTGATGATTCAGGCCTGAAATGAGCAATGACTGTAAGTGGAAAGAACAGGATGGATGTGAGTGACATGGTGGAGGAAGGATGGATACCATGTGGCAACTGACTGGGTTAGAGGTGAATGAGGGCAAGGAGTCAAAGAAGACCACCATGAAATTTCAAACCGAGTGAAGGTCTGGAAGGAGAGGGTGCATGGAGGAGGGGCGGGCTTAGGAGGGAAGAGAAGGAGGATGAGTCCTCCATTGGGAATGGGACATCCAGGTGAAGATGCACTGGAGGAAGGTGGGGAGACCAGAGCTAGAACCTGAGATCTGGGAACCATCTACATGGAGATGATGCCTGAGCCCAGGGCAGCTGAGAAGATCACCAGGAGGGGCAGCCCTAAGGGTCATGGAGGACGCCCACAGGCGCGGACCAGGGCAATGGATCTGGCAAAGGAGATGGAGGAGTGGCTGGGGGTGGGGTGGCCAGGGCTGCAGCGTTTTCTAGGACAGGGCAGAGGTCTGTGAGCATGAGGGCATAGGATTCCAGAGGGCCCAAGAGAGGGAAGGCCTGAGCAGGCTGGGAGCAGGAGGCGAGTGGCTGAAGGGGATGGAAGGGCAAGGGGTCAGCAGGGGAGGCTGTGGTATACTAGCACTGCGTGGACCAGTCGGGTTCCCACCCTCAAGAACAAGGCGGGGATGGGAAGGAAAGCTAAGGACGACAAGGTGGGAAAAGCAGAGACCCCAAGCAGGGATGGCCTGGGCCTGGCTGGGGAGGCGGCTTGGGCCGTTCCATCTCCTGTTGTGTCTGTTCCCTCTGTCGAGGAGAAGGATCTTTGGGTGGAAAAGGACGGAATGAAAACGGGCAAGAAGAGTCAGGTCACCGGGCCCACGTGATCCGCACCAGCAGGAAATGGAGGGGGTGGCAGATGGGATGGCCGAGGCACTGTGAGTGACTTGCGAGAGAGGGACCAGAGGACTGGAGAAGGGCAAACACAAATGTGAAAACAGACAAAGGATGGAGGCCGCTAACTACCCTGGAAGTGCCAGAATCACGTAGTGCCAAGGTCACCTGCGTCATTCTAACAGAGAAGATGGCGTGCGCTTGTGGCCAGCCTGGATGATAGGAGATCCAGGACTGGCTGGGCAGCAATGTGGAACAGAGGAAGCCCGGGGGTCTGGGCTTGGCCCGGGCCAGTCAGCACCTGAATCAGTTCTTTGGATAGAGGCAGGAGGGGACCACTAACCCTTGGTGGTGGTGACTGGGCTCAAATCTCACCTGTTACTTACTACTTATGTGACCCTGGGCAGTTAATTAACCTGTCAGCCTCAGTTTCCTCTTCTGTAAAATCTATTTACTGTTTCCAGTTTTTCTGTCTCTTATCTTCTTTGTTGTCTCCCCATTGTGCTGTGAGCACACCCAGGACACATCGGCGCCTTCTACAGAGAGGAGAGATTAGCCCTGGTACAGGCAAGCTCAGGGGGCAGCACCCGGATGCAGGGTTTGGCTCAACATAACAAGACTTTCTAACAATCACAACGGCCACCTAGGGAGGTGTCCATGCCCAGGCTGTGCCCATCTTGGGGGGTCTGTGCTGAAGGGCAGACTGACCAAGATGATTCGGGCAGGAAGCACCTGACGGGGAAAGCCAGCAGGCCCTCCACCGAAGCATCTGAACCTCACCTCGATGTAGTGGTCTGTGAACTCTGACCCAAACTCCCGGCTTGCCCCAAAGTCCAGCAGGGTCACCTATGGGGGCAGAAGCAGAGGCCAGGGGTTGATCAATGACATGGGCCCCAGTGCCCTCTTCCCACCTGGGTGAGCCAGTCTTGAGACACTCACCTTGTGGCTCGAGAGATCATACAGGAAGTTGGCCCAGTTGGGGTCCGTCTGCATGAAGCGGAACTCAAAGAGCTCCTGAAGGCAGAGCCGCAGGAGCTCCCGGCAGATCTGGGGGCCGAGATGGGGAGGGGGTGACCCCGCCTTGTGGTTACCCCCCATCTCTGCCAGACTCACACAGCCCCTCCTCCCTCAGGGGGTCCCAGAGCTGACCATTGCCAAGGACCTTAAACGAGATGTCCGCAGGCCCACAGGGTTCAGTGGTTCTCCCTTGGTCTCCCTTACCTGGTTCCGCACATCTTGGCTCAGGCCCTGGCACTGGTCCAGGGGCACCCCGCTGGCTAGCTCCATGGCCAACACCCGACCTGTGCTCAGCTCCTCGATCACAGCGGGCACGCGGAAGAAACGGTCCCCTTCCAGGAGCTGCCTGTGGGTCACAGGGCCAGGAGGTGGGAAGAGGAAGGGGCCTGCTCTCCTCTAAGATGCTGTGTGACCTGGGCAAGGACCTCCCTCCCTGGTAAAGTAAGGGTTTAGACAGGAGGCTTGGTGATCTCCAGCTCTACCCGCAGCGACCTGGCAGACAGAGCCCGGGCTCTGCTTCTTCACCCCCGGGTGCCTTACTTCTAGGCTGAGGACTCTCCCAATCACTCCCTCAGGAGCCAAGGCCTGCTCTCTGCACTTGACGTGTGTGTCTTATCTGGCTTCCTCCCAACAGAATGAAAGCTTCTTGAGGCCAGGGCCCAGGACGGTGCCTGGGATTTCCTGGGGCACCAGCCTTGAGGTCACAGTCTTAGACTCACCCCGGGCATGGGAGGGTGAAATCTAGGCCTTTCTGGTCCTGTACCCAGCTCACAGTAAGAGCTAGAGGCCAGCCCCTGCCCACTCCTCTGCAGGGGGGCGGTCCTGGGGCATGGGGCACTGCAGGGAACATCCGGCTTGACATACTGAGAAGCTTTACTGGTTTTTTCTCTTTTTTCCTTCAAAATCTATTCTTTGTTCTATGTTCTATGATCTGACCCTCTGGGAAGGAAGATGGGAGGAATACTGGAGAAATTCTGGCTCTCTTACCCACCCAGATGTGTGGACTAAACCAGCTCAAGAGTCAGCAGGTCCTGGATTTGAATTTTGCCTGAAGCACCTATTGACTGAAGTTGCCCAGGGTTCTGCCCTTTGGATGGACTCATGTACATCCTAGAGACGGTGCCTCTAGGACTAAATCTGGGATCCTCTGAGTGAATCCCTCACACGTGACCTCCCATCTCTGGGCTTCCCTCCTCTCCCCTCTAAAACAGTGAGTGTGCTGGCCCCTCCCTGGCCGAGGTCCCCTCTCACAGCCCCCAACCCCAGGAGGTCAGTGCCAGGGACAACCTTGAGACCTCAGTCCTCTGGCTCATGTCCACTTCAGGTCTGTTCTGACCGTCAGGACCCCTCTGCTATTTCTGCCCACTGTTCTCTGGGGTGAAACAGGACGAGGCTCAGCACCCCCAAAGGGCTGTGATCATGCCCTTCCTGAGCCTTCTCTCCTCCAACTGTTCCTCAGGTGACACAGACTCAAGGCCCCTCCTGTCCTGGCTGCCCTGCCCTGGGCACTGTCCAGCTTAGCAATGTCCCTAAGTGGGCACAGTGAGCCAGACAGATGTGGAACAGATGAGGGGCCCCCTGGTTCTTGGAAGCTCTGGTGCGTGCGTGTGTGCGTGCACAGGCCTCGCCTGCCACTGCCCGGCCTGGACAGGGTATGGGGCCACAGTGGGGGAGGGATGCCCAGTCAGGGCTCAGGCAGCACCCAAAGCCCGCTGCTCACCTGAAGGTGCGGGCACAGGCAGCCTCCCGGCGATAATCACACTCCCACGCCAGCTCCTGCTGCAAGGCCTGGAGACTCTGCTCAGCAAAGAGGCCTGTGAGGAAGGGCATGACAACCAGCCTGTGCCAGGCCTTAAAGTGGTGCAAAGCGCTTTACAATGACCTCATGGAGCCGGGAGGGAGGTGCTATTATCATCCCCATTTTACAGATGAGGAAACCGAGACTGAGGGTCGTGTCAAAGGCAGGATATGAATCAAGTCTAGAAATCTATCCTCTGGGGGGCCAAGGATTCCGAGGGCTTCAGGTCCCCCTCCCCCCAGGCTCACCTTCGGGCAAAGTCACACTCATCTTCAACACGGCCAGTAGATTCTCCACGTCACTCTGGATGCTCTGGGCCACACCTGGGTACTGTGGGGAAGGGGAACATGTGCCCCTGGGACACTTGACTGCTTCAGGACCAGATGCCTTAGCTCCCCCGCCTGGCCCTGTGACTTACCTGGATCTTCACAGCCACCTCGGTCCCATCTTGCAGGACACCCTGGTGGACCTGACCAATGGAGGCTGCGGCAAAGGGCTTCTCTTCCAGGGAGGCCATCTTGGTCTGCCAGTTCCTGCCCAGTTCTTCCTCCAGGACTCTCTGCAGGTAAGGCAGGCCACTGGGGAGTCAGGCAGGCAGCCCTGGCACCACCCCTTGGGAGCTGTCCAAGGCAGCACCCCAGCCACTCACCATCATCTGCCATCGGGGCATGAAGTCAGCGCTCTGCCGGACCCTCTCAAAGATGCGCTGCAGCTGGGGGCTGATGAAGCTGTTGTCTGGCGACGGCAGGGAGGGGCGAGAGAGTCAGGGAGGGAGGAGCCCGAGGGGCTAGAGTTGAAGGGCTCAAGAGTGTGTCCAGGGCCCTGGAGACAGGGCTCAGTATCTGGGAGGGTGAGGGGCTATCTTAGGACTGGGCTAACTGGAGGGGCCTGGGGCTTAGGAAGAGGGCCGGGGGTCCATACCCTGGATGCTTAACATCTGGCCAACCTTGAGTGCTGCGCCTCGAACTGTGCACAATGTCTTCACTATCCGCTCAGCATTGGCTTCAGAGAGGAAAGGGCTGGGGCCCAGAGCAGGGCCACCTTCTAGGGAAGGAATGGTGGGTGTGGGATGGATGGAGCGCCTGCAGCCAGGGCAGCCCAGCCCCGCCAGCCCCTCCGGATGTCCTCACTTACCCCCTTGCCGCGCCTGCCCTCCTGACAGCGACATCTTGGCCACTTCAACCAGGGTACCAAGGCTCAGGCCCACTGCCAGTCCTGGGGCAGGAGGCAGAGTTAGGTGCTGCCCTGGTCCCCAGCCCATGTCCCTCTGCTTGTCTTGTCTGTCATTAAGGCCCTCATGCCTGCTCCATCTTTCCCTTTGGCTCTGGCTGTCTCCAGCTGGCTTCCCTCCCATCATCTGTCACATCACACAATTTCAGAGCTAGAAGGGCCTTGAAGTCACAAGAAGGCCAGTGAGGGCTCTCTGCGCTGGCCCCGCTGGAAGGCCTCCCCTGGCAGCCTGGCCCACTTCTGTGCCACTCTTGCTGTTAACTACAATGCTCTTGGCAGGCATCTTGTACTCCTGCTGTCATTCTCCAAGGGGCCTCTCAAGCTGAGTCTATTTCTCTGTGTTTCAGTCACAGGCTCAAAGCTTCAAACGGGAAGGGATCTCAAGAGGCCATCTAGTCTAACCCCCTCAATTTACAGGTAAGGAAACTGAGGCCCAGAAAGGTTAAGTGATTCATCCCAGGGCACACAGGTACTAAAGGGCACAGCCTTCTCCTCATCCCCACCTTTCATGCCCCTCTGTAACCCCTGGCTTCTCTTTCTGGCTTGATTTCCCATCACCTCCCTTCATGGGCTTTATGGATCCACTTGCTCTCTCCCCAACTTCACATCCCATCTCCCACCTCCCTGCTTTTGCATAGGCTGTTGTCCACCCCTGATAACCATGACCTTCCTTCCAAGCTCACCACAGATGTTCTCTCCTATGGGAAGATGTTGCTGACCCCTCTGTTATCAGTACTGTCTCTCTCAAACTTTATCAATTCATTTCTACGGTACTTCCAAATACTTGTTGGTCAACAGATTCGACCAGTATTTATTGAGCGTCCACTGTGTGCTAGGCCAGCCCCTGCCCTGAAGTCTACTGGGGCAACACAACAGCTACATAACTAAGTCCAAAGCAGTGCCAAAGGGATTTCCAGGACAGGACCCTAATTGCTGGAAAGGTCCTCATGATCCTGTGGGAGGGAAGGGCCAAGCTGGGGCTCCTGAGGGCCAGGTGAGGAGAGAGGGATTGCCAGGAGCATGTATGTGTGTGTGTGCATGGGTCCTGCTTGGACAAAGGCTTGGAGGTGGGAGATAGAAGGTTCTGTACAGGAATCAGCTAGCTGGTCAATTTGACTGAGAAGGACACAAAAGAACACTGTAAAGAAAGATGGGGGACAGACTTTGGAAGGCTTGATTTTTTTTGTATTTGATCCTGGAGGCAACAGGAAACCGTTGCATTTTTTATTTTGGGGGGCGCAGGGATAAGGTAGAGTTTGGAAGCCTATGGAGGGTAGATGGGAGCCATTGGAGGCCAGGAGACCGACCTGCACAATGAGGAGGGCCTGGCCCAGGGCAGACATTCTATGGAGGAGACGGATGTGATGGAAATAGGACTGACAAGATTTGGCAACCAACTGGTCAGTGAGAGAGGGCGAGGAGTAGAGGCCAACTCGGGCTGTGAACCTGGGTGCCAGGAGGGACGGCAGTGCCCTCAGCAGGCAGACGGATGCTGGGATCGATGCGTGAAGACAAGGAGCTTCACTGGAGAGGTGCTGAGTCCTAGGTATAGCCTATGGTGGTGAGTGGAGGGGGGGCTTCCCTCTCCCTGGGCCTGGAGTCAGGAAGATCTGAGTCCAAATCCAGCCTAAGCTACCGGGTAGCTGGGGGACTCAGGGTGAGTCATTTAACATCTGCCTTAATTTCCTCATCTGTAAAATGGTTAACGATAACAGCACCTATCAGCCAGAGTTATAAGGAACAAATGAGCTATCTCTTTGGTGCAGGGCAGAAGCTATATAAATGTGTACTCTCCTCCCCTCAGTTAGGGAGATGGTAATAAGGATGGCCCACACTCAGATCCCAGGAGTGGAGCTCAGTTCCCTTTGCTGGATCCTCCTCCTGATCATGCCCTCTGACTCGCAGTGACCCCCAGTGCTCTGTCCTGGGCCCTCTTCTCTTCTCCCTCTAGACTACTTCACTGGGTAACCATCAGCTCCCATGGATTTAATGACCATCTGTCTCTTTGCTGATGATTCTTACATCTACCTTCCCAGCCCCAGTCTCTCTGCTGACCCCCAATCTCCCATTTCCAACTGTCTTTCAGACATCTTAAACTGGAGGTTCAGTAGACACTTCAAACTCAACGTGTCCAAAATGGAACTCATTATCTTTCCCCTTAAATCCTCCCCCTCTCCTAAGGTAATGGGAACAGAGCACCACCCTCCTCCCAGGCCCTCACGCTCCCAATCTAGGAGTCATCCAGGATTCCTCACTATCTCTCACCCCCTACCACACCCCCCTATCCCCTATCCAATCTGTAGCCAAGGCCTATGGATTTCACCTTTGTAACATCTCTTGAATATACCCCCCCCCCAATATGGTCCCCACCCTGGCGCAGGCCCTTATCATCTCACCCCTGGATAAATACAATAGCTGCTGGGGCCTCTACTGGCCTCAAGGCTCTCCCCCCTCCAATCCATCCTCATTCAGCCACCAAAGGAATTTTCTTGAAGAGCAGGTCTGTCTGATCATGTCACCCCCTACTCAATAAACTGCAATGCCTCCCTATTGCCTCCAGGAGCAAACACAAAATGTTTAAAGCCCCCTCCTCCCTTTCCAGTGTTCTTACACCCTACTTCCTATGTTCTCTTCAATCCAGTGACCCTGGCCTCCCAGCAGTTCTATGAACAAGACATTCCCATCTCTTCTTGCCTCCAGGCGTTCTCTCTGGCTGCCCCCCCCCCCCCCAGGCCTGGAACACTCCCCCTCCTCCACTACAGCTACTGACACCAAAGCTTCCTTAAATTAAGTTCCAACTAAAATCTCTCCTTCAGAAAGTCTTCCCCATCCCCTCTTCATGCCAGTGTCTTCCCTTGGTTAATTATCTATTTATTCTAGAAGGAACTTGCTTTGTATAGATTTGTTTACATGTTGTCTCCCCTGTTAGACTGTAAGCTCCTTGAGGGTAGGGACTGTCTTTTGCCTTTCTGTATCAGGGTGACTTTACATATAATACTGGACTAGCCTGGGTTGCTTGGCCCTGTTTCTCCTGGCTTTGCTTGTCTCCCTCACATGATTTCACTGTCACAAATCATGGAAGCTTGGTGCTCAAAGGGATGTGAGAAATAATGAGGTCCAACCTGTGCCTGAACAGTAATGCCTGACAAGTGATCCTCCCATCTCCTGTCCCCTTGAACACTTACAGGAATGGGAACCCTGCTACTTTCTGAGTGTTAGCCCATGACTCTCATGCTTTCATTCTCTTGGCCTGTCTTTCAGGGTCTGTGCTCTTGGAGACATCTTGCCTCCAGCTGCACAGGGTGGTACCTACCCCCAAAGTTGGCCAGGCGACTGATTCGAGAAGCAGGTACCTTTCGCTCCCGGGCACGCTCACTCAGCTGGAGAAAGGGGGGGAACTGGGGGTAGTTGACCAGTGAGGCCCGGGGAGGGGCACTGTGAGAAGGGGCTGGGGTTGAGCCAGTGGGAGCCATCAGTCAGGAGATAGCATATAGGGTACTGTAAGGGGCAAGGCTAGGGGACAGACAGTGTGGGCACAAGGGATGCCTACAGGGGCAGCGTTACCTGGGGCCTCGGCCCCACTCTGGGCCGGGCTGCTTCCCGGGCTCTCCGGATGTCTTCTTTGCTCAGCCCAGAGGCTGTGGCTGGCCCCTCACTGTTCTGAGCCCTGGCACGTGAGGCATTGTGGGGGTGCAAGGGTGAGGCTGGGGGCCACTGAGAATTCCCTCTTGAGACAGCAGTGGGGCGCAGAGCCTGGCCCAGTGTCCTGGCAGTGCCTCGGAAGCATTCAGACCACATGGCCTACGGGAGAGAGGAGAGGAGGGGTCTGAGATCTCCCCTCAATGTGACTAGGTGTCCCTCTCCTTTTCCTCTTTCTATTTTTGGGCTCAGGGGTTTTTGCCTCCCGGTCTCCTCTTTCCCTGCCCCCTTACTCTACATCTTCCTTCTGCTTTCTTCCCTCTCATATGCTGCCTTCTTTCTTCATTCTCTCTTTTCTTTGCCTTTCCTTTCTCCCTGGGGCTCTTCTCTACTGCCCCTCCCCCTCCTCAGCACCCTCCCTCTCCCCCCTCCCTTTTCTCTCTCCTCCCCGACCCCCCTTCTCTACCTCTCTGGCCCCTCTCTTTTCTACTCCCTCCCCATTTTCTCTGCCCCCTCTGCCTGGCTCCCCCTCCTCCTCTCTACCCCCTCTCCTCTCTGCCCCTCCCCCTCCTCCCCATCCCCTTTCTCTGTTCCCCCCGCCCAGCATCGTTTCCTGCCCCCCCACCCAGCCTCTTCTGCCCCCTCCTCCGTTGCTAGGCACCCACAGCTCCTCCTCGTGCAAGGCCCCCCTTCCTCCAGGGCCCGTCCGTAAATTCAGCACCGCCCCCCAACTTCCGGGAGGCCCCGCCCCTCTACTCGAGCCTGGCCAATGACAGGGCGGGCAGCCGCACTGACTGACGGGAGCCCGAGCCTCTAGAGAGGAGGGTTGGGGTGGGGCGCGCGCATGTGCTGAGGCGGGGGCGGGGCCAGGGCCTCGGGGCGAGGTTAGGGGCGTGGCTGAGCATCTCGCTGAGCACGCCCCTTCCCGTCTTCCTCTCCGCTCTAATGCCCTCTTCCCACGCTGCACACTTTCCCTCTTCCTTAACAGGCCTCTCACTTCTGTTCCCCGGTCCTGTGCAGGGCCCCCCATCTCTGCTCCCCTCCCCTTTCCTATTCACGGTCCCTCACAACTGCTCCCCCTTCCTTGCAGGTCCCCCCCCCCTCCCCCCCCCCTCTCGCATTCCCCCCCCCTCCCCCCCCCCCCCCCGCCCCCCCGCTTTCCTTCCTCTTCCCGCAGTGCAAATTTGGAGTTAGGGAGACCTGGGTGTCCATCCTGCCTCCATCACGTGATAACTGTGTGACTCTGGGCTATTTGTTTAACCTTCCTGAGCCTCAGTTTACCCAGTAAGGATTTAGTCTTTGACTTAGTTGCCCTTAGGCTCAAAGGAGATGAGGTTAAAATACTGGGCTGTTTTTTATGGGCTGTGTATAAATACAAGTTCTTATTATCTCTCCCTGACTCATCCTCCTCTCTATTCACTTCCACAGACATCCTCAGGCTTAGTTCTACCTGGGCTTCTCTCTTGATATACTTCCCTCCTCCCTCCCTCCTGCTTATCAGGTTTGAGGAAGTGGGAAGAACTTGGGGGAGGGGAGGGTGCTGTGCCCTGGATATTGATAAGAATGAGATGCAGAATCGTGGGGACCTGAGTCAGCTGGGGCATTTTAGGAAATCCGAGGTGGGGGTAGTGGGGAGAAGATTGAGGCCACCAGCTGGGAGGGCCTGGGAGAATTCCAGTTTCCACACACACAGCCAGGAGTGAGCATAGCTGACTCATCCCAGCACCTGTCATTTCTTCCTAGTCCCATTCTCCCTAGGGGGCTAGAAAATGGGGCCCCAGAAACCTCCTCCCTACTTTCAGCCTCTTTTCTTGTGACTCACTCTAGGCTGCACCTGACCCCAACCCCTCCAAGTGACTCAGTTTCAGCTGAAAGTCCCCTTGATGTTCTCATCACCCCTCACACTTCAATGTAGTGAGGCATCGATTGACCTCTGAGTCAGGTGGTGGGCTGGTGAGAAGGTACAGACATCTGGACCCAGACATCAGGAATCTCCTATTCCAGGGGAATTAGGTGCCTGTCCTTTGTCCCCAGCTCCCTCACCCCCACCACACGCTCTGTCTTGCCTTTGAAATTAACACACACACACACACACACACACACACACAGTACATGTCTTGTATGAACATTGTTACTCCCATGTTGATACTCCAGCTCTTAACACAATGTCTGATACATAGTAAGGGCTTAATAAATGCTTATTGCTTGAGTAGACTGACTTCTGACCTGGCTGAGGGACCTGTGCGTTCGGTGCCTTTAGCCTTTACGAGAATAATCATTAACTTTTGGACTTAGCTTTAAGGCTGATAAATCGCTTTCAACACATTTCACTGGAGACTCGAAACAGCTCTGTGTAATATAGACTGCAGGAATTGTTATCCTATGATAATAATGATAATGTTGCAATATTTTTCAGGCTCCATACTAGCTACTTCCCAAACGAGTAAACTGAAGTTGATTCACTCAAGAGCGTGACACACTCCATCCATCAGTCTCACAATGCCAAGGATGACATATACATATATATGAACGGATATATAATTTCTCTCCTCCCAGATACGTGACCCAACCAGAGAATAACAAAAGAGGTGTGTTTCTTACCTAGAAATTTTGTTAAGTGGCGGTTGGGCGTCCAGACCTGAAAGCTAATTATTATTAAAACTAAAGAGGATGCTTAAATTGTTATGAAGGAAAGAATGTCACTTTTAGCATATCCATTTACCTTCTTAACAGTCAGCCAATCAATCAATTAGCATTTAAGGCCCTACTAAGTACTTTATCCGAGGGGTTAAAGAGGTTGATGTCTTTTAACTCTGGAGGTCCTCCCAGTTTTCTAGGGTGGTCTCAAAGCGATTAAGGAAAGGGAATTAAAGAAGGAGGCTTATTCTGCACAAGTCAAAGAGGCATCATCCCACGGAAAGAAAAATAGCAAATACAGAACAAAATGGAGAGTCAGTTATGCTCTCCCCAAAATCCGCTTTCAACAAAAACAATGGCTAGCATTTGTTGGCAAAGTATTTATATATGTTAACTCGTTAGATCCTCACAACCCCCCTGGGAGGTCGCTGCTTTTATTATCTCCATTTTGCTGAGGCTGAGAGGTGGTCACTTTTTCCAGATTAGGACGTGGAGGGGCTAAGATGACTAATGCGGAGCACCCGGGTCTTGTACACCCCGACTCCAGTTTTCGGGCCTCCGCTACGCCACGCCCCGGATGTTTGGAAGACTCTTGGAGATACTACCGGGACTGGCCGGGTTTCGGTCTGGGCGGCTGGGGGGCGGGGCCAAGGATTTCCTCCCCCCCCCGGTGCGTCACCGCACACACGTCCAGGGGCGGGGCCCAGGGCTTCCCCGGGGAGGGGAGGAGCCGGGAGGAGGCGGGGCCTCGATTAACCCCTTGGTCGCCGCGGTCGGGCCGGAAGGAAGCGGCGGCTGTGGAGGGAGGGAAACCCGGAACCGCGGCGCCCCGGGCCGGCCACACCCCCGGCTTTAAAGGGGCCTGAGGCGGATCCCGGGCCGGGCCGGGCCGGCTGGAGCCGAGCGCAGCGGCCTGCGGGAGGGCATGCGACGCTGTCCCTGCCGGGCCCCGCCGGCCACGGAGGCGCGGAGGCGGCGGAGCCGGGGCCCAGGGTCCGAGGGGGGCGGGCTTCCCCCGCCGCGGGATTGGCCGGACGCCGCAGGGGCCCGGGGGACTCTGGACTCCGCCGGACTGCAGGGGACGCTGGACACTGCGGGGGTCCGGGCTGGGCCGGACAGAATTGGGCCCCAAGGGACACTAGACACTGCCGGGGCCCGGGGGACGCTGGACCTCGCTGGGGATCCGCGGGACGCTGAAGGCCCCCAGGGGACGCTGGACACGGCCGGGGCCAAGTGGACACCGGACGCTGCCTTGGCCAGGGATCAGCTGGACGCACAGGCTCTTGAGGCTCAGCCGCACGTCGTGGGGACCCAAGATCAGCCGGCCAGAGCCGGGCCGCCGGGGCCACTGGACACCGCCAAGGCCCGAGTGGACACTGCTGGGATCCAGGCTCAGCAGAGCAGAGCTGGGCCTCGGGGGCGGCTGGACATCGCTGAGCCCCAGGATCAGCTGGCCAGAGCCGGGCTTCTGGGGATGCTGGTCACTACTAGGTCCCAGGATCAGCCTGACGGGGCTGAGCCCTGGACACAACCTGACATAGCCGTCCCTGAGCCTCAGCTGGACAGAGAAGGCTCTCAAGGATGGCCGGAGGGCGCTGGCCTCTGGGAGCTGCAGGACAGAGCAGGCCGCCAGGGAGGGCCCTACAGAGACAGCCGCAGAACAAGGCCAGAGCAAGAGAGCTCTGGGGATCAGCCCAACAAAGACAGTCACCAGGTGATGCCTGGCAGAGCCGGGCCCTGGGTATGGAAGGATGGAGACAGTCCCGAGGCTCGACTGGACAGAGACAGCCCTCAGGGACAGATAGACAGAGCTGGCCCCTGGGATCACTGGGTAAGGCCAGAAAAAGCTGGCCTTGGGGAACCACCGGGTACAAAGGACCATCAAACAAAACGGACTGGTGATCACCATTCCACTCGAGGGCAGCCAGAAAAAGATGCCCCAAAGCCCGAGACTGAGAGAGCAAGCTTGTGGGGACAGTCGGACAAAGATATCCCCCAGGTAAGCCCAGGGAAAGCTGGTCTCTGGGGACAGTTGGACAGGCACTACTCAGAAGTACAGCCAGATGGAACCATCTCCCAGCTCAGTTCAGAGAGCGATGGCTTTTGGGCACTGAACAGAGACACCCTCCAAGGCTGGCTGGACAGAGATGATCCAGAGAGGGATGACCTTTGGGGTCAGCTGGATGGAGAGGGCCTTGCGTCTCGGCCAACTGGTGAGGATCTCCTGGGAAGGCTGGGTGTTGAGATCACTCTTGGGTGGCCTAAGAGAGACAAGTTGGAGGCACAGTCAGAGAGACAGGACTGCTGGGGACAGCTGGACAGTGGAGGAAGTCCTCTGGGGAGGCTGGACGGTGGCGTTTCCCAGGGACAGCCAGCTAGAGACTGCCTAGCAGTGAGGACCGAGAAAGACAACCTCTGGGGATGGCCAGGCTGTCCAGGCAGACACAGCCCTATACCACGGCCAGAGAATGAGGGTCCTCTGGGGAAACAGGCTGGTGATGTCTCCAATGATCAGGCTGGTGAAGATGGGCCTCCCACGGTGCCAGAGAAAGCTGGTTTCTGGGGACAGCTGGGTAAAGATGTCCCCATGGGACATTTGGACAGAAACAGCTCCCAGTCACTGGCAGACAGGGATGACTCCCTGGTGAGGGCAGAAAGACGCAGTACCTGGGCACAGCCTCACAGATACGGCCTTGAACTACCCCCAGGAGGTGGGGGTCTGCTGGAGCAGCTGGACAGCAAGGTCACTGTGGGGCATCCAAGCAGAGATGGCCCCCCGGTGGGGACAGAGCAATATGGCCTTTGGGGGCCGAGGGACAGAGATGTTGGCACTGTGAGGCAGCTGGACAGAGAAGGCCCTGAGGTGGGGCTCAGTAGAGATGGCCCCATAGGAAGGCCAGAGAGACCTGGTATCTGTGGACACTTGGCCGGAGATGACTGTGAGCCTAGGCTGGTTGCTCTGGACAGCAGCTTGCCCACGGGGCACCTGGAGGTGGGGAGTCCAGGGGGGGCCCTGGAATTCCTTCTGCTGGAAGAACGGTGCCACTCCCTGCTCTGCAGGGGCCCCCAGGGGCCTGTGCCCCAGGTGATCATCACCTCCGAGCCTGGGACTGGACTGCTGGGCCGAGAGCAAGAAGGCCCCTCGCCCCATCCTGTGGGGTCCCCAGCCAGAGGCCCTGGTGGCAGCGGAGGCCTTTCATCTGCTTCTTCCTTTGATGAGTCCGAGGATGATGTGGTCATTGGGGGCGGAGGCAGCAGTGATCCTGAGGAGGGGCCCAGGGTGAATGGAGCCCCAACCACCCCACTTGTTCCTGCTTTCCACACAGCCTTCCCTAGAACATTCTTACTCTCCTCCCTCATCCCCACCGGCCCTAGTCTGTCCTCTTTCACCCCTATTGGTCCTAGTCTGTCCTCCCTCACCCCCACTGGCCCTGGTCTGTGCTCCCTCATCCCCACCAGCCCTAGTCTGTCCTCCTGCACCCCTATTGGTCCTAGTCTGTCTTCCCTCACCCCCATTGGCCCTGGTCTGCCCTCCCTCACCCCCACCGGCCCTGGTCTGCCCTCCCTCACCCCCACCGGCCCTGGTCTGCCCTCCCTCACCCCCACCGGCCCTGGTCTGCCCTGCCTCATCCCCACCGGCCCTGGTCTGTCCTCCCTCATCCCCACTGCTCCTGGTCTGTCCTTTCTCATCCCCACTGCTCCTGGTCTGTCCTCCTTCATCCCCATATGTCTTGGTCTTTCTTCTCAAGAAGGGTCTTCACTCAACCTGTTCTTACCCCTTGTCCCATTCCACATCCCTCAAAAACATGGGGTGGGGCCCCTGGTGAGTCAGGGCTCTGCCTGCCCTTACCAGGCTGGTTTGGAGGAACCGTGGGCCAGGTGTGTGAGTGATAGAGCAGGAATTCTTTGGTCAGACACCTAGGGGTTGGGGCAAGCTACCAGGCTCTGTGAGGATAATGCCAGCTAGGGCTGCCCCACACCCATCTCCTCTCAGAGTGGGGGGGCTTCTTGAAAGAGGGAATACTGGGACCAAGCTTCAGCTGAGACCCCTCCCCCACCCCTGCCCCCCTCCATTAGGGCAGGAAGTGCAAAGGAAATCCAAATTCGTGCATAGGCATGAAGGTACAGGAGCCAGGAGAACGTAAACAGACATGTGAAAAGGACGCGCTGAGACACGCATGTGTGTATAGGAGGCTGGCACGTGTTATCACGTGCTATGTTATGTTACCCTTTGGGTCTCAGACCCACCATCTCTGTCTCTCCCTTCCATCTCAGAGTGGGGAAGGACCTTGCAGGCCCCAGTCGTTTCATGCTACAGATGGGAACACTGAGGGGTCGGGAATCTCCCAGTGCCATCCAGTGAGTCAGGAAGGACAGTCCCAGGGGTCCCATCTCCCAATCGGGGTTCTTTTGGCAACTGTCCCTTTTGCAGTGGTATAGCCCACTTACATTTGTCCTGGAATTCACCCATTTCTCTCCCCACCCCTCCTGCACCCCACGAAACTGTGCCTTCAGCAGCCCGGGGCGGGCTTCATTGGAACCTCCCATATCATGCTCCCTCCCTGTCCCTAGAACGGGCGGTGGGGGGCATCCCAGGAACAAGGTTTTCTTTTAGCGTCGCTCCCCACCTTCCCAAGCTCCTTCTAGTCCCTTCCTCCCTTGGTCGTCTTCCCTCTCCCTCTTTTGTCTCTGGGCCCCTCTCCTTTTGTCTCTCTCTTTCTGCCTCCTTTTCTGTCTCCCTATTGGGTCCTTCCATCCCTCCCCAGCTCGTTCTTTCTCCCTGAAGTTTTCCCTTTCTCCCCCGTGCCTTATTGAGAAGGGCTGATCTGACAGTCGCCGGGATCCCTTGGGAGTGGCGGGGAGGGTGTCTTCAGTTGGGCCATCCCTGGAGGGGGGAGGGCTTCCCTCATCCCTCTGGCCTCCTCCCCCCTTTTTCAGCGGGGTCTTCCCTGGAGCGGGCAGGGTTTGCCCCATCCGTCTGGCGTGCCTGCACCCCTCCCCCCCGTTAAATGCCATTCTGCTCTCTCTCGGTCAGAACGTGTCCTGGAGGAAGCTGAAGACGGCTGTGCACTGCGCACCGTTTGTTGTGTCTTTCAGAAAGCACTATCCCTGGGTCCAGCTCTCGGGACACAAGGGTATGGGCTGGGATTGGGCGTGGGAGGTATGAACCTGTTCTGGCCTCAATTGACAACTGTCCCTTCTCCACCTCGGAGAGAAAGGGAAACTGAGGCAGGGAGCAGAAGTGAGGTGGCTGCAGGATGGGGCTGCCAGGATTCCTGATCTCTAGCCATGGCGTGGGGGGAGGGCGGTGGTCTCTCTCCATCCCAGTTCTGGCCCCTTCAGACTTGCTGCTTTGCTTCCAGGGAACTTCCAAGCTGGGGAGGATGGGCGGATCCTGAAAAGGTTCTGCGAGAGCGAACAGCGGAGCCTGGAACGGCTGATGGGGGACGCACTCCGTCCATTTGTGCCCACCTATTACGGGGTGGTGGAGCAGGACGGAGAAGCCTTCAACCAGATGGAGGACCTGCTGGCTGACTTTAGCACGCCCTCCATCATGGACTGCAAGATGGGCACCAGGTGGGCCCTGGCAGCATCGACGGGGCTGCTGGGTGGGCTCCTTAGCACCGAATCATCTCAGGAGGGCACAGTAAAGTGCTAGGGGGACCAGGGAGCGCTAGGGGTGTCTGGGGGGGCTTTCTCCTTGGGACTCTGAGAAACATGAGGTGCTTTGGAGCCCGGTGGTTTGAGGCTCCTAGCCTGACACTGGCCTGAAGCAGCTCTGTGGTGTGGAGGGTGGCAGTCCCTGAAGCCCTCCCCCTGGCATCTTCCCCCAAGGACATACCTGGAAGAAGAGCTAGCAAAGGCCCGAGAGCGTCCCCGGCCTCGTAGGGACATGTATGAAAAGATGGTGGCCGTGGACCCCGGTGCCCCCACCGCGGAGGAGCACGCCCAGGGTGCCGTCACCAAGCCTCGCTACATGCAGTGGCGAGAGACGGTGAGCTCCACAGCCACTCTGGGCTTCCGAATCGAGGGCATTAAGGTGAGAAGGCCTCTGGGTGAGAGTGGGGGCGGGATGAGGGCGCCCCAGAGGCAAGGGAGCAGTCCGGCAGAGCCTGAGTTCCCCTTAAGAGCTTGCAGCCATCTGCTTAACGAGTCAGTTTTCTCATCTGTAAAGTGGGGGTTTGTACTTACCTTATTATCTCAAAGGGCTGTTATAACAAAAACTTTGCAAACTTTAAAATGTTACAGAACTATGAGTAATTACATTTGAGGGGTGCTACACTGGCGGGGCAAAGCTCCTTTTCTCTGACTAGAAGGGTCCTTAATGTTTTTGGATCTTGGATCCCTTTTCAGAAGATGATTTTTAAAGACATAGAACGTATGTGATTACAAAGGAAACCAATTAATAGTGAAATTCATTTATCAAAGTAAAACAAAAATCCTCAGCCAAGTTCAGACCTTCCCATGAGACAGGCGCTCCTGTCCCCAAGTGTGAGGGTCTGGTCGGGGTACAAGGGACAATGCCTGGAGGTGGGATTGTGTGCGATGGCCTCTCAAGTAGGCTGCCCCGGCTGGGCTACTGTGCTTGACCCCGCCATACCTCCTCCCTGCTCCCTCAGAAGGCAGACGGCACCTGCAACACTAATTTCAAGAAGACCCAGGGGACAGAGCAGGTCACTCGAGTCCTGGAGGACTTCGTGGATGGTGACCGGAACCTCCTGGTGAGTGAAACATCTTCCTTCTGATCTGTTTCAAACCCCTATCCTTTCCCCTTGATTCCTCAGGAGCCAGAGGATGTTGGTTCAAATCCTGGTCCTATCACCCACTATTTCATTGAGTTTAGCTGGGCCGTAACACATTTGTGGGTCTCAGTTTCCTTATCTGTGAAATGGGTTGATTTCCAGTTCTAGAGCGCTACTCCTGACCGGATGAGGTCAGAATCCTGGGGTCCTTCTTTGGGAAGCAGGAGTGAGTCTGGGTATCTTTAGAGGGAGACTTCCTGGGCTTGGGGGAGCAGGGCAGGGAGGAATGAAGGCATGCTCCCACCTTCAGTCCTGAGAAGTTGACAGCTTCCCCATGTCCACAGAGGAAGTACGTGAAACGGCTGGAAGAGCTTCGAGGAACCCTGGAAAACTCCCCCTTCTTCCAGACTCATGAGGTGAGCTCTGAACCTGAGTCACACAGTGGTGGTGGTGGTGGTGGTGGTGGTGGAGGAGAAGGCCGGCCTTCCAGTCTACCGTGTGCATGTTATTTCTATGCCCTGCCCCCGGCACTAGGAGGGCACCCATGAGGCATTCACCGCGGGGCTTGCTTTCTTCTAGAGGTTGGGATGCAACAGCTCCTGGGAAAGAGGGCTGGTTATCTGTGCCTCAGTTTCCCCATTCTGTTGGACTGTCTTGGCCTCTGCTCCTTCTCCCCTCACCACACTTCCCCAGGAGATTGCTTTGCCAGCCCCCCTGCCTCATTCATTTCTCCAATGCCTTGCTTACCAGTGGAGTGACCTTTGGCCGGTCCCTGTACCATCCCATTGTGTCTTTGGGATGGGAGGGTGCTGGCCTGCCTGCTTGGCCTCCTCTCTCTCCTACCCTCCCCAATCTGGCCTTCATGTCACCTTTCTCCCCCAGGTGGTGGGTAGCTCACTCCTCTTTGTCCATGACCGGACCGGCCTGGCTAAGGTCTGGATGATCGACTTTGGCAAGACCGTCCCTCTGCCCGCGCCCCAGACCCTCAGCCACCGGCTGCCTTGGGAAGAGGGCAACCATGAGGATGGCTACCTGTGGGGTCTGGACAACGTCATCCAACTTCTGGACAGACTGGCTCGGAGCTAAGCCAGGGACTCCAGGGGCAGGACTGAATCGGGGGCTGAAGAGGGGCAGCCCCTAGCTCCTACTTGGGATTTATTTATTTTTAAGGTATTTAAGCTGTTGAGACGAAAGGGGGGCAGAACCAAAAGGAGGGCAGCGGGGGTGGCATCTGAAACAGGATGTGCCCATCCCCAGTGACCCTGGCTCCAAGTAGGGGGATCCATGCTGGGTGCAGGTGCGCCCCACTAGGTCAGTGCCAGGGCGTGATGGACTAAGCATCGCCCCTCGCGAGCTGTATCTGCGTACAAAATGCTAGAGCCCCAAGCCCATTGCTTGCTGTGCCATGGGTTGACTCATGGGAAGAGAAGGCCCTCTCACCCCAATACCAGCACTAGCTTTGAGGGGAGGAGCGTCAAGGCCAATGTTAACACTGTGATCTCTACTCTCTTCCTCACCCCCTCACCCCCTGGTGGTGATGGCGTATTACCTGACCTTCCTGGCTCTGGGGGCCAGCCACCAGGGCTCTGCCTCTGCCAGCGTTGTGGAAGGGGAACTTTTGTCCTGCTCTTCCTACCAGAGGCCTGTCCTTCCCAGCTTCGGATTGGAGGGAAGGAGGCTAACGGGTGGGAATGGCCAAGTGAGCCTTCTCTGCCCTCCCCCCAATAGTAGAAGGTGTGACTACCACTGCCTATAATAGAGGTTGCCCGGCTGTCAGCTCAGTCTTCAGCCTGTGGTGGGGGGGGGAGGGGGGCTTGCTGGCAGCATCCAGTGGCAACTCTGGCCCTCTTTGAGCACAAGAACCAAAGACTACTCCATCCATGCACCCCGAGGGTGAAGGAGGCACGGGGGAGAGAACCCTTATTCATCTTCCGGCTCCCCAAGGAGGAGCTGGGGAGGGGCCTGGCTTTACCCTGGAACTTGAAGAGGCTTTAGGGAATGATCTAGTTCACATCTCATTCTCCACCTGGAGCATGGGAAGTGGTAGACCTAAGGGATCAAGGCCAGACCCCCACCCCCACATACCAGCTGCCTCCTGAGTGCCAGCCTTACTGAAGTGTCCTTTCCTGGCCCCGGGGTGGGGATGGAGAGAGAACGGGGCTATGCTCTTTCTCCTTATTTATAAAGAGGAGTGGGCTGAGGCTGCTGGGGCCTCACCCCTCCCTTAAATAAACAGAGCCTGGTGAGATGGTTTTCCACAAGTTTTGTGTTCTGGTGAGCTCCCTTCAGAGGGGAGTCTCCAGGAAGGCAGAGTTGGCAGATGGAAAATGATGACAGCAGGATGCTCTTCTCACACTGGCATGGCCGTTTAATGAGCCCTCACATCCCGTCACCACACCCCATTGCACAAGGGGAGAGCTAAGTCCCAGGGACAAGTAATAGCACAAAGGTGCCAGGACTAGAACTTGGCCTCTGGTCTCCGGGGCCAGTGTTCCTCAGTCCACCACCATGGCTCTTGTCATTTCATATGGGCCTCTCAGCATCTCAGTGGGGCAGGCAGGAGAGGGGATGGATGGGGAAACTGAGGACCCCAGCATCACACACGTGCGCACACACAGCAGGCCTGATTCCCAGGCAGGCCACAGCCCAGGGGAAGGCCCGCGTCCTAGGGCCGGAGCAGCAGGCTTTGGCCGCAGAGGCCTGCATGCACCCCACCGGGAGGCACCACGTAGACCTTGCCATCCGTGGTCCTGACTGGGGCCAGGTCAGTCAGCTGTAAGTTGCTCTCACAAAGTTGTTCATAATCCCAGAGCTGATAATGCCAGCTCTTGCCCTGCTTAGAGAGGAGGTAGATGGCCTCTGGAGGGTCTTCAGGGAGGAGAGGGGGCTTGTCAGATGCTGGGTGGAACAGGCCCTTCAGCTCTGTGTCCTCTTCATAATCTGGACTCAGTGTTGGACTAGGAACTCCGAGCAGGACGCCTGTGGGGGGAGAGGAATGACTCTGCTTTGGTCCCTGGCAGCTGGTGGGGCCTGGAGTCAGGCAGGGCCGAGTTTGGATGTGGCCTCACACACTTCCCTTCTGTCTGCCTCGGTTTCCTCATCAGTAAAATGGGGATAATAACCACCCACCTCCCAGGGTTGTTGCAAGGATCAAATGAGGTAATGTGTTCAAAGTGCTTAGCATAATGCCCGGCACCCAGTTTATTATCATTATTATCATCATTATTATTAAGGCTCCATCTATATGCCTAGCTATTCTCCTTGGCCTTTCCTCAGGAAATGTGAAGTCCAGTTCAAGGTGGGGGGAGTCCTACCCTTTCCTTCCAAAGACGACGAACCCGATGCTGAGGGGGAATATCTTGACCCCCGGCCAGGCCTCCTGTAGTGCCCAGCACTAGGCCTTAGGCACAGCACGTCCTGGGGAAAGGTGTCTGCTGCATGCGCCCCTGCCCCCATTAAAGTAGCAGAGCTCTGTGCTGAGGCTTAAGGGCAGGGTGGCCACACCCCCAAACTGACCGAGAGTTACCTGCACCGACTGCCCAGTGGGCCTTGTGCCCCCTCTTCTTACAGGGCTCGTGGTTGTAGTCCTCATCATAGCTGGCCGAGGGCAGTCAAGGCCACAGCCTGGAGGACAAGGAGACATGAGTCCCTGTCTTGGTCCACACCACCCCAAAGGGCATGTCAGTACCTACTGCCCTGGCACACAAAGGATACGGGACCAGCAGGGGGCAGCCCGAAACGAGGTGCTGGAGGACGTGGCATCGATTGGGCTCACCCAGGCCCCCAGAGAGCAGCTCCACCTGGCACCCAAAGACCTCCTCGGCTAGCCTGGCCATGTTGGTTGCTGCAGTGAAGAAGGGGGAGGTGTCGGTCATAGGCAACCTGGCTAGATCACAACTCTGGGGGGTCAGCTCCTGGCCTGCAGCCAGGCCTCTGGCCACCCCCTCTGCTTTCACTGACCTGAGAACATCTCTCCTTGAGCTGTGTACCCTCTCTCCAGAGCCACAGCCACAATCCTCTCCAAGGGGATGTCCTGGGGGAGAGTCAGCAGAGAGCCTGCCATCCACAGTGCCACCAGCCCACACCTGAGAGGGGATGGAGGGCAAACCAATGTCACTCGAGCCCACAGGCGCCTTCCCAACCTCCAGCATGTTCCCAGCCCATGGGAGAACCAGAGGAAGGCCAGCCCAGGACAGGAAAAGGAGGGACTTCCATATAGGCAGCTTTTTGAAGAGACTAAAGAAAATTCTCCAGACCAGGAAGAAACCTAGGGCTAGAGATGGGACTCATCCTGGGAGGCGTGGGAGAAGAAATCCTGGACCCTAAAGCCTTTCTGAAAATGGGGAGAGGGTCCAGTGAGTGGCAGGATGGAGGGGCTGAGGAGGCTGGGGAACTGCCTGAGTCAGTGAGGACGTAGCCTGGCTTGTGTCAGCCTGAGGACTCGACCAGACTGGCTGGGCTGGGGGAGCCACGCACCAGAGAAGGGGGCCGCAGGTCTCCCCAAAGGACAGCTGGGGACCTGGGCCCTCTCATTCAGAGGCTTTCTGTCTTTTCTACTCTCTCTCCCTCCTTGTCACTGGAGAACATCCTCTCTGTGGACTCTCTCACTCTGGGCAGTGGTGCCAGCACTGACTGGAGTCAGTGGGAAGGAGGGCTGGCCCCCCTCATCCAGACCCCTCACTGAGGAGTCTGGAGCTGGGAAGGACGAAGGGGCTCAGCTAGGATTCAAACAGCCCGATGGCTCTTTCCACGGTACCCGCTGGGTATCGGGAGCCCTGGGCCCCTCGACCTGGATCCTGGCTGTGGGCCTCTCTGTTCTTGGCCATGAAAAGGCTAATATTGACACTGTGGGCTCATCCCAGGGACACCTGAAGGATCGATGGTACTTCATGCCTGCTCAAGTTATCTGAGCCTGGAGGGAATCAAGACAGGAGCGATTGTGCTCATCTCCCAGACAGGAAGACCGAGGCCCAGAGCAAAGCACTGCTTGGTCCAAGGTCACACAGCGGAATCCCAGCTCACCGTGCCCCCTTGACCACATCATACAACCCATGCTCTGACCAGGCCCCTCCCCTCTAGCTCTTGCTGAGGCACCTTCTGACTCCAAGTTCTTCCCCCGAGCAGCTCACTGGTCCCAGCCACCACAGTCCACCTCAGTTCTCCAGGGTGGATGGACTTTGTATCAAGGATCCTTCTTCCCTGCCCCACCCTAGGAGAGTCTGAGAGTGGCGGGGAAGGGGCCAGGGCTACCTACTGAGGCCCTTCTTGGATGAGGGAGGGCACGTCTGAACAGAAGAGAATCCACTTCAAATCGCTCCTGAAACTGAAGACACATCATTGCGTCATTACCCAGAGTCTCTTGGAAGCCATCCTGGCCGTATCCCAGGGATCAGTCAGGAATGCTCCCAACAAGATGATCAGAAGGGGGGAACCCGTTTCCTTCCCTTCTCTTCATCTCATCTCATCTCATTCTTCTCAACACAGGGGTGGGGCTCAGTGGTCTCCAATGGCATCCCGTGCTCATACTTTTATGTTTTTAGAAAAAGAGACAGAGGCTCAGATTCTTAAAATCTAGCCAATACGAGGCTCACAAATATTCAGATTCCTTAAGACTCTGGCCAACGTGGCGAATCTTTAATAAATCTTGTCTTTGGCTGAAAGAAAAAAAAAAAGAGGCAGAGAGACCCAGAAAGAGGGACAGAGCCTTGGCCTCGGCCACTTGGAGACCAGGCAGGCCCTGGCTCTGCACTTTCCCAGGCATCCACCTAATACCCCTCCCAGCGCCAGGAGCTTGAAGGGTCAGAGAATTGTCACAACGAGCCTAGGAGGCAGATGGTGCAAATACTAAAGTCCTCATTCTACAACAATAATATTGGTAGAGTGCCTACTATGTGCCAAGAACTTTTCTCATTAGATCCTCACAACAGCCCTGGGAGGCAGGTGCTGTTATTATCCCCATTTTACAGATGAGGAGACTGAGGCACACGGAGGTGATGTGACTTGCCCAGAGTCACAGGCCAGTGCATGTCTGAGGTCAGACTGAGTCCAGGCACCACACAAATGGCAAGCTTCTGGCCAAGTCCAGCGTCTTCCCCCCACAAGCGGGAGACGGTGTGGCTGTGAAGGCTGAGGCCACAGGATGTCGAGCATGGGGACAAAGAGGAGAAAGCTGGGCCAGGCCAGGAGCCCTGGGTCCCGGACGCTGCCTTTCCTTGCTCTGGGACTCAGTTTCCCCATCTGTAAAGCGGGACGGAATGAATGGCCTCTAAGGGCTGTAAGGGTGACAGATCCGTGAAGCGCGCACGACCCCCCCGCCCCCAGTCTAGGGGTCTGGGGCTCTGGGGCCGTGGCTCAAACACAGACGCCCTCCGCCCATCCTGGGGGTCGCCAGCCCCAAGCGAGGGCAAGGCCGGTGCCCGGGCGCCCTCCCTGGACCCTACCGGTTTTTGTGGAGCCTCAGGAGCCGTCTGACGTCCTCCCGCGCCCCCAGCCCCGGGTCCGAGCGGGCCAGGGCTTCCTTCAGGAGCTGGCTCTTCTCGAGGCCAAAGACGTGGGGGGGGCCGCCAGGGGGGGCCGGGGGCGGGGGCAGCGGAGGGGGTGGAGGGCAGCCCAGGGAAGTCATTGTGGGGTCCGGAACCTCGGAGGGGTCGGGGTCGGGATAGGGAACAAAGAGAGTGGGGACCCAGGAAAGGCCCTGGGGGGATTTGGAGGGGTAGGGGCCCAGAACAGGTGCGGGGGGAGGTGACTTCTGAGAAAACGAGTTCAAGTCTGGGGGTGGTGAGAGCTGGGGACGGCCTCTGGAGCAACGGGGAGGTCAGAGGGTAAAGGTCAAGTCTAGCCCAGTCTAGGTGCCAGCAAAGGTCAGGGGTCAGGAAAGGAAATGGGCTTAAGGGCCGAGGTCCAAAGGGCTGGAGCGCTGGGGGTAGGGCGAAAAGAAGTCTACCAAGGTCGAAGTTTCCACGCCCACGCCCCAAACACCCCCTTCTCAAGATGGCGACCGCCGCCGAATCACGTGACAAACCCCCCTTTCTTCCCATCCTCTTCCCTATCCCTGCCCCCAGTGAGACTCCATGATATACGAGCTGCGTAATGGGTCACGCACTACACACTGGGGAGTGGCGAGGGAAAGAGACGAGACCCTCCCCTCCTCTTCTCGTCCATTCCAAGACGAGGCGGGAGTCAAGCTGCGTTCTTATTGGCGAAGAGTGCGCATGTGGGGCGGGGATATCTATGATTGGCCAGACGTCCAGACGTCCCGCGTCTAGATTGGTTCTGCTAACGATGGGGGGCGGGGCCTAGCGCTGCTCAGCCCCGCGGAGGAGGGACCCACCAGAGAGCCGCCGGCAGCATTCGCGGACGTACGCCATTAGTAAGTATTCCCTGCGGGCGGCAGTCTTCGGGCCTGGGAAGGCGGCGCACACGGTCCGGGACGTTCCTCCTCCCCGCTCCTCCGGCTTCTTGCCCCTCTCAACGTCTCCACTCCCTATTCTGCCCCCTCCGTTTCGTACCGGCCCCCCACTTTCGGGCTCTTGTTCCACTTGGAGGGGCGGGGCTAAGCAAACGTCCACCAATGGCGGCGCTCCGGGCCCGGCCTCAGACACTTGGCCGGGAGCTCGTGGGGCCGCGCGAGGCGTCCGCTGGGACCCTCCCCACCCCCATCTCCTCCTTCGCAGGCTCAGCGGCCGAGCTCTGCGGGGGACCCGGGAAAGCTGCTGCTCCGGACCAGCCACCCGGGAGCAGGCGTCGGGGTGCGGTGGCCGGAGCCCTGGATTTGGACCTAGAGCCATTGCGCGCGGACACTTCTCTGATTCCCGTGGGAACCGGGCAAGTTGCTTGTGGGGACCTCGCTTGCACCCTCCCCCCCTTATAGTTCCTCCATTAGAGCATAAGCTCCCCGAGGGCAGGCACTCGCTTGTGTTTGTGTTCGGTTCCCAGCGCAGCGCCTGGCGCAGGCTCATCGGTCCATAAGTGCTTGTTGAGTTGGCCAGACCCACTTTGGAAGGTGCCCCGGACCCTGATACAGTAGATAGCAGTGTGGGACTGGCGAGTCAAGAAGACCTGCGTTCAAATCCTGCTGCGGGGCTTCCCAGCAGTGTGAACCTGGGCCAGTCTTCTCTTTAGGCCTCACTTTTCCTCATCTAAACGAAGGGTCCCGGCTTGGTTAAATTGTACCAACTAAAAAGGCCTTTTTCACTTTCTACACTTTTCAGCTGGGCGCACTTAGAAGACGCACTTCTTCCATCCGGCCTCGGCTTTGAATACCTTTTACTCTGCCTGTCAGTCCATCCTCCCGCATGTTTTTCCCCTTGATCTCCTCGGTATTTCCCTTCTGGCCCTTGCCATGACCACCATTTCTTAGTTTCCTCTGCTTTGTCTTCCTTACCTCCGCACTGTCCCAGCCTCCTTAACTGTTGGGCAGTCTATATATCCAGCCCTCCTCTTTCTACAGAGCTGCACTGCTTCTTGGACATGTCTCTTTCACACAGCCAAGTCACAGTTTCCACAATTCCTCCCTAAAGTCATTGGTTTTCTTTAGGTTTACAGAGGGTGCCATCATCCCAGGTCAGCCCCTCCAAGTCATCCTCAGCTCTTCACTTGCCTTCATCCCTCTGTATCCTGTCAGTTGTAAAGCCCTGTCCATTGTAATGCCACAGCATATTCCACACCCTTCCTCTTCTCTTAATCCAAGGGGCTGCCACTGGCCTGAGTTATTGTATCAACCTCTATGTCCTTTGCCCCATGCCAGCAATTTGCTCCCTTCTTTCCTCCACCCTCCACCTCCTAGGCTCTCGAGTAACCTTCTGGGTTCAGCTGTAATGCTGTCCCAACCTCCCATGAAGCCTTTCCTCCTCCTGCTGCTGTTCTCCTGTTACTTGGCATGTGCTTCTTGGCCTGGGCTTGTCCTATTTTTCCCTCATCAAAATAGTAGTTCTTTGAGAGCAGGGACTATTTGAACTGGGTCCAACACATAGCAAGCTGAAATAAGTGGCGATTGGAGTGATTGAAATGGATGTTGGCCTGAACCACAGGCTGGGCAAAGAAGATTGGGAGATACTTGAATTGGGGCCATCTTGGAAGGCCTAGAATGCCACATGTTAAAGTTTTTGAGCAGAGGTGTTGATGTGCTTTGGGGGCACCTGCCTAACTGAAAGAACCCTAGGCTTGGAGTCACCACTTGGCTTTGAACCTGGGGGAGGGGGGACGTCGGGTCAAATCGGGGCTAAGTGAGTTGTGCAGGGTCACACAGTTAGTAAGTGTCTGAAGTTGGAGGCGTTCTGACTCCAGGGCTGGTGCTGTATCCACTTCACCGGCTAGCTTTGAATCTTAATATGGCTGAGCTGTGTGACTGTGGGTCGTCTGTTCACCTCACATGTTTGTTTCCTCATCTAAAAAATGGGTGTAATCGTGTCCATCTTTCCCTCACGGGATTGTTGGGATAATAGGGCATGGCAACTGTTTGAAAGCACCATATAAACCTGTTATGACCAAAGAAGTTCATGCTTGGTTTGGCCTCTGGTCTTTCCCTGGGTGGGAGCTTCCTCACGTCAGTCAGATCAGCAGCTTCTCTGTGACTTAGAGATGCACTTGCATGTGTCTCTGAGCTCATGGGACTCGCCAAGGGCCCCTGGGGCAGGACTCAGTTTCCCCAGGCTTCCCCTTTAGCCTCGGTGCCAGGCCCAGCAACCTTCCTCTCCTGAGGCTTGGCCATGGTGACTACATAGCCCCTTGGTGCCCCTTGTAGCATTTGTGATTTTCCCATGTTCTTTGATTCCAACAAGCATTAACTGAATTGAACTGAGAGCCTGCTTTGTGGGGGCCATCCATGAGATGGTGAGGATATCGTTCAATTCAATAAGCATTTCCTTGGTGCTCTGTGTGAGTGGGGTCCTTTCGTGGAGCCTCTATCTTTCTCCTAGGGAGGTGTCTAGGATTGGGTTGGTGGGGTCCCTTCCCTCCCGCTGCCCCACTCTCCTCGGGGAGTTCATGGGAGACAGGTCGGGATGGGGAGGGGAGTCAGACTTTCTCCGCTTGAGTCTAGAAGGCAGGACTAGAACTGGTGGGTGACAAGTTGTAGGGAGGCAGACTGGCTGGTTGTAAACAGCAAGTTATGAATGTTTAGAAATGTCCCAGAGCCAGCGGGCTGCTCTTACCGGAGATGTCGGAGCAAAGAAGGGGCTCTTGCTGTCTTGCCTGTGGACCTAGGCGGTAACCCTGGGATTCTTGGGAGGAAGCAGCTGAAGGAGGCCTCAAGCCAGACTAACCCGGGCCCACTGTTCTTTCAGGCCAAACTTAAGTGTGTTCTGTCATGGCAGTGCCGGAGTCACGCCCCAACCACACCATTTACATCAATAATCTCAATGAGAAGATAAAGAAGGATGGTGAGTGTGTGAGGCCCTTTTGTTCCTCTGCCTATGTGGGGCGGCCTGTCTGAGGCCTGAGAAGGAAGGCTCTGCCTAGGCCTGGGTCAGTGGGCGTGGTAACTGGGCTCCCTCTTCTCCTGAGGGAGGCTCCTTCCTCACAGCCCGTCTCCGGGCCTTCTTTCCCCAGAGCTGAAGAAATCCCTCTATGCCATCTTCTCTCAGTTTGGCCAGATTCTGGACATCCTGGTATCAAGGAGCCTGAAGATGAGGGGCCAAGCATTTGTCATCTTCAAGGAGATCAGCAGTGCCACCAACGCTTTGCGCTCCATGCAGGGTTTTCCCTTCTATGACAAGCCAATGGTCAGCAGTGAACAAATTCAGTTCCTTTTAAAACATTGATAAACCACACGTGGGTCAGGGATCTGAAAAAAGGGCACAATCCTTCATTTGAAGAGGTAGCCTCCTGGGGATGGAGATAGAACACATGCCAATAAGCGTAACCCCGAGGCTGAACGTGATGGGGCAAAGGCTGGATCCCTTTCAGTATGGGAGGTGGCCTGGAGCAGGGCCTCAGCAGCTGGAGACTAGGAGGAGGGGGCACATTCTGGGCATGGCGTGTGTGTGTGTGTGTGTGTGTGTGTGTGTGTGTGTGTGGGTGTGGGTGTGTGTGTGTGTGTGTGTGTGTGGGTGCGTGCGCGCGCGCCCTTTGGGTTGTCCTGGCTGGCCCAATGCTGTGTGTGATGTGGAGATGGAGGCTAATGGGAGAAATAGACAGGAGAGAGATGAGTGTTGGTTTATGGAAGGCCACGAATGAATGAAAAGGCATCTGATAATGCTCTTACTGTGTGCACTGCTTACCTGAAGATACAAGTAGAAGGCTCAGTCAACCATTCTTCCAAGGCCCACATGCTAACAGGGAAGACTTTGTAGTTAAAGCTGGGGGGGAGGGAACACCTTCCACCTAGAAAACCACAGATTAACATTAACTGTGTTCTATTGCATTTTTGTTTGTTAAGTATTTGTTAACTATTCCTCAATCCCATTTTAACCTGGCTCCCTGCTGCCCTTAAGGGCTTTGAGCCAGGGTGCAGCATCAGGAACTGCATAGGCTCCTCCCTGGCATCCTCGGGGCAGGCTTGGAAGGCTGCCTGGGAGAGGGCGAGACCCTCAAGGCTTGGGAGGCTGTCCCAGGTGTTTGTGTGAGATGTAAAGAAGGATCTCTGCCTGTGCATTGCAGATGTTAGAGCTCTGGGGAGGGTTTGCCTTGTATCTTGGCCCCCAATTTAACTGGCTCATAGACCTGAGGCTAGAAGGGCATTAGAGGCATGTACTCCAGCTCTTTCATCCTACAGAGGAAAAGACTGAGGCCCAGTGAGGTTAACTAGTTTACTAGTTACAGCTAGTAAACATCAAAGGCAGGCTTTGAATCCCGGTTCTGTGACTCTAGCATGGTGGTCTTTCCCAGCCCTGGCTCTCGTCCCTTAGTAGATAGTGTGAGTTGCAGGGACCACCGAGGGGCAGCTATGGGGCTGGTTTTGTGCTGGGCCTTTGGGCCCTCGGGTCATGGGGTGGGGTTTGGCCCTCTCCTCATCCCCAGTAGCTGCCTGGATCAGAGGCCCTAAGAGCCCAGCCTCTTCTCTATCACAGAACCATTTGAATATGGCCATCCGGAAGTCTTGTCAGAACATCTGGGTTCCAGCCCCATGTGATTCTAGCTGCATTGTCCCACTGGGCAAGTCAGTTATTCTGAGCCGAAGCGTCCTCTTCCATGAAATGGGAATAACTATATTTGAACCACTTACCTCATGGAGCCAATGGTCACTCAGCTAACAGTTATTAAACACCTACTGTATGCTAAGTGCTGGGGATGCAAAGATTGTCCTTCTCTAGGAGCTGGAAATCAAATGGAGGCATCATGCAGATAGCTTTGTAAACAAGATTCAGGCAAGATAAGCAGTATGCTATCAGGAAGGGGGTGGAGAGGGTGCCCCTTGCCCACACCGTCTTTCTGGGTGATTCAGAGAATCCAATACGCCAAGTCAGACTCGGACATCATTGCCAAGATGAAGGGCACGTATGTGGAGCGTGACCGGAAGCGGGAGAAGAGAAAACCCAAGGGCCAAGACACGCCAGCGGTCAAGAAGACTGTTCCGGGTGGGGCGGCCACCCCGGTTGTGGCTGCCGTCCAGCCTGTCCCGGTGAGTGTCTCCTGGTTTATACGTAGCCGAGTTTGTGGGCATGGTGTTGGTGTGGCCTGATCTTCGCACCTGTGTATCCATTCCCTTACACGTTTGCCCACACCCATGTACCTCTTCCCTCCTCCTTTCTTTGGAGAGACTCCACATTTCCTTGTTTTTCGCACTCCTTAGTCCCCTTGTCTCAGACTCAGTTTCCCCATTTGATGACTATGACTTGTCTTTGTGTCTTGCCTCCTCACCACAAATCACCTTTTTACCCTGATTTTCTGTTGTGGTTTCTCCTATCGTGACTCTTGATTGTTTCTCTTTCCAAGGGGATGCCACCCATGACCCAGGCCCCCCGCATCATGCACCATCTTCCTGGGCAGCCACCGTATATGCCTCCCCCAGGGATGATCCCTCCGCCTGGCCTGGCCCCTGGACAGATCCCACCTGGCGCCATGCCCCCGCAGCAGATGATGCCTGGACAGATGCCGCCTGCCCAGCCGGTGAGCCCAGCTTTGTTCCTTTTAGCCGCCTTGGGGGTAGGATCCAGCCCAGGAATCTCCCCCTCATGGCTGGCTCCTCTTTCTTCTTCTTCGTAGCTGTCTGAAAACCCGCCCAACCACATCCTGTTTCTCACCAACTTGCCCGAGGAGACCAATGAGCTCATGCTGTCTATGCTCTTCAATCAGTAAGTCTGGGCAGGACAGGGAGACTCGGGTTCATGGGCATGGCCAGTGTGGAGCAGCTGCCCTGCTCCTCACCCCCTGGCAGTCTTGGAGCTGTCCTCCCCCTCTTCTTGCTCAGCCACAGCCGGGGCCTGGGCCGGACGCTTGCTTTGGCTCTGCCTTGGACAATACGCCCTTTTCCCTTCCCTGGGCCACAGTGCCCTCTTTTGATCCCATTAAGTCTGAAGCTTCAGGCTCAGCCATAGAGCACATGACATCCTCCCCTCTGGTTCCTGGCTGACTTTGGAGTTCATGGCCAGGTCACAGGACCTCTTGGGGCCTGTTTTCACTTTTGAGTGAAGTAGTGAAATGGAGTCAGACTGGATGGACCTCCAGTCCATGCTATTTCTGGCAGTCTGAGAGTAGGATTCCTTTAGAGCTCTGGTGGTCATTGCCTTCGTGATTCCAGGTGGAGGTGGATGCCTTGGGTTTGAATCCTGGCTCTGTTGGCTGCATTTCTTCTCCCCTTTGGCCTCAGTTTCCCCTGTGTCAGAAGTGGGGCAGGGGTGGGGGTGGGGGGGTCTGAGCTCCTCTAGGACCTTTGCTGAGAGCCCTTGATCTCCCCCTTCCAGGTTTCCTGGCTTCAAGGAGGTACGTCTGGTGCCCGGGCGTCACGATATCGCTTTTGTGGAGTTTGACAACGAGGTGCAGGCTGGCGCTGCCCGAGATGCCCTGCAGGGCTTCAAGATCACCCAGAACAACGCCATGAAGATCTCTTTTGCCAAGAAATAGCCCTACCCCTGTTTGTTCCCCTGTCCTCCCCCTCCTTCCAGGGTGGCCTTCCCCCTGCTCCTCTGCTCGGGGCTGTCGTACCCTGAAGGTAAGTCCCTGCTCCCTTCTCTCAGACTGTAGTGTAAGTGTGCCTGTGCCTCAGCATTGTACCCAGAGTCTGCCCTTCAGACATTGCACCTGGAGCTGGGGGCGAAAATAAAAGGTTTTTTTCACAACACTGTTGTCCTCAGCTCTCTCAACCAAGCCCACAAGTGACCCGCTCCCCTCCCAGCTTGGGGGCTGCCCAGTCCTGAGACCCACTCAGTGATGCAGGACCCTCAGCACCTGCTGTGGCTGGGCTGCTGGGGATGGACGGACAGGCCTGGGCGCTGGGCTGGGAATGCTGTGTCCAGTCAGCACAACCAGGGCCTGCTTCTGCTCCCCGTGGCCCCCCAGGCACCCTTCTGACCAAATGGGCATCAGGAGAGTCTAGGCCTGAGTCAGCCCAAGTCATTACCTGACACCTGTGGGTGAGGCCCTGGGCCCAGGTGATGGGTATGGGCACATCTAGACTCAGGTTCTTCCCTGCAGGAGGATGTGTGTAGACAGTGTAGCATCTGTCTAGAGGGTGCTCTCCTGCTTTCATCAAGGGTAGGTTCCATTGCTGGGGTCCCTGGGTGCCTGCTTTGCGGCTGTGCATCTCTCCTCCATCCATTGCCTGGGTCCTGGATTGGCAGCAGGTACATTTTTTTCTCTCTTACTGTGAGCTGCAATACATGCTTGGATCTGGAGTCAGCATAGGGCTTTGACTCTCACGCCCCTTCTTTTGCCACATGAATTGGGCATTGGGGGGGTTTGGCAAGTGCTTTGACCTCCAGAGCCTCAGTTAACCCCTCTGTAAAATGGGGGCGGGGGCACCTAGGTGGCACCATAGCGTATAGAACACCACGCCTGGGGTCAGGAAGACTCATCTTTCTGAGTTCAAATCTGGCTTCAGACACTTACCAGCTGTGTGACCCTGAGCAGATCATTTAAGCCTGTTTGCCTCAGTTTCCTCATCTGAAAAATGAGCCGAAGAAGAAAATGGCAAGCCACTCCAGTATCTCAGGCAAGAAAGCCCCAAATGAATTTACGAGTCAGATACGACTGAAGTGACTGAACAACAAAAAGGGTGTTTTTAGCTCTAAATCTGTGCTCCTTTGGTGGCAGAAACGACATGCAGACAGACAGCTATGGGAAGAAGAACAGTGACATTCCAGTAAGTTTTGGGTGTGAGGCACTGTTGAGGGTGGGAGAGGGAAGCAGTGGGGCAAAGCTTGTGTTTCCCTTTGGGAGTGAAATGTGAGATTGGGAGAAAGGGGGAGAAAGCCTGCTTTTCTAGGGTGCCCAAGTGACTTAGGAGCCATGTCCCCTCAGCAGTGGTCTCATCAGCCCCCACTGCTGTGCTTTTTCTTCTTCTCAGAAAACACGGTTATTTCAAAGCAAGGTGTGAAGTCATGTAGTACGATTTTCAGCACGACGTTTGTCCCCATAGACCAGGAACCTGGAGGGCAGCCTGTGGAAAGGGATGGGCAGGGCAGCTAGGTGCTGCAGTGGATAGAGCACTGGCCCTTGAGTCAGGAAGACCCAAGTTTAAATCTGGCTCTGAACACTTAATAGCTGTGTGACCCTGGGCAAGTCACTGAACCCCGATTGACTCAAATAAAAGGGGAGGGAGGGATGGAGATGGGAGGGGAGGATTCTGATCCAGTTTGGCTGGAATCCTGAGGGAGGGCAAGACCTGGGATTTTGTTGGTAGCTCCCAGTGAGGAAGGTCAGTACTGTCTCTAACTTAATTGCCTAACAGGGTTACTCATGTTTGTCCGGCATTCCATATCCAACAGTGCCAAAGACAGTCCTGGTATTTGAGTCTTTCTGGCTCCAAGGCTAGCCTTCTCCCAGCTACACAGCCTGGATGGTGGTGGGCTGGGTGGGAAGAAGGAGCTTGTACCAGACAAGAGGATTTGTATTGCTTCTTTTGGGTGTGGAGACGAGATTTTTACTCCAGTGACATGTTCAAACCTGAGATTTAGGGATATTAAGGTAACTCTGGAAGATGGGTTGGGTCAAGGGTGGTGGTGGAAAGGGAATGGAAAGCGATCAGGGACCTTAGCTTGGGCAGAGGCCATGTGAGTTGGGAGAGCTGGGGAAAGCAGCAGTGACTCTTGGGAGCTGGCCATGGGAAGTAGGAGGAAAGCCAGAGCCAAAACAGTGAACTTGGGTGACTCCCAGAAAGAGGCACAGGATTTTAGGGGAAAGGTGAGTTCTGTTTTGAACACACCAAGTTTGGAATATCTTTCATGAGGAGATGGTGATGGGAAGCAGGCAGGGCCCCATGAGGGAAAAGACACGTGTGGAAAAGAGATAGAGGAGGGAATATGTACAGATTTGGGGGTCAAACCCATGGAGCACCTGAGATTGCAGGGAATTGAGAAGGGGGGGTGGTAACACCCCTGTGCTTTGGGATCAGGCAAAGCAAGACTGTCAGGGAGAAGGTGGTTGACAGTGTCAACCTGAGAAAAGCGGAACCCAGCTGGAGGCAGGGTTAAGTGAATTTTATAAAATGTAAATGTGGGAGGAGACCTGGGCATGTTTGTAGGTAGAAGGTTCAGTAATGGGTAGGGAGAGATAGCTAAGAGGGAATGATTGAAGGGGGAAGTTTGAGGAGACCAAGAAAGGGCAGGGCAGGGCTCCCTCTCCACCCACTCCTCCTACGTGAGGCTATTGAATGCCGTTGGGATCAAGCTCACTGCTTGGGTGATGGGGGCCTCACCCTCCTGGTGAGTATGAGGGCCTGGGTCGGGGAGCTGGAGAGGATTCCAAATCCACTTCTACCTGGGAGAATTCCAGAAGTGTTGAGGTTGGAAGTACAATCTGTTGAACCTTAGAGAAATGGAAAGACTTCAACAGACATGAAGAAATCTCCATGCCAGTCATGCCAGATTTAGTGAACAAAGCCACGGAGATGGAAGAGGGTGGGATGAGAACCAGGGGACACAAGTTTCTCCTAGAACCTAAGCTGTGAAGGGCCATGGTGGGATAGGTAGACAGTGGGGAGCCATTGAATATTTTTTGGGTTTCTAGTGTTGCCGAAAAGATGACAGGTATTGTGGGGCAGAAAGGATGGCTTTGTAGCAGCAGAAATGAGGGAGAATGACCGATTTCCTGTGAGACAAGGTTCATTAGAATATGAGCTCCTTGGAAGCAGAGGAAGTCCATTTTTAATTAGAGTCCGTGACTCGACCTTGTCTTTCTCCCTCTGACTTTCTCTTTTCACCTCTTCAAAATGGTAGACTTCAGGCAGCTAGGTACTTTGTGGTTTGGGGAAAACAGAACTGGATTCGGAATGCTGGAGTCAGCTGTGCTGTTTCCTCTTTAGTGACCTTGGGGGTCCTTCCCCTTTCTGGGCCTCAGCTCTGTAAAATGTGGCTGTTGGGCCAGGTGCCTTCCAAGGGGCTTTCCGCTTCTCGATCCCAAGAGCCTCTGCCCTTTAGCTATTCTTTTCTGAAGTGATGGGGTTGGTCTACCTGGAGCCCCTCACTACCATCTCCCCCAGGGTTGGGATGTCTGGCATTCTGCCTGACTGCATGCACTGGGATGCTCTTTGGAGCCCTGCAGGGAGGGAGGTTGCCAGGGGATGGGGCAGGCTCAGAGGCGGCTGCCTCTCCACCCACTCTTCTCAAGAGCCTCCTTGTTTCTCATGCCCACAGGAAATTCTCTGCAGGATTCCAGGCTCTGCCTTCCTCTCCTGTGACTTCTCTGGTTGTGGGGCCAGGAGGCAGAGCGGGAGGGCAAAATTTGAGATTGGGATTTGAGGCTGGCAAGGTCCTGGGGCGTCTTTTGAGAACAGGGTCATTTTTTTTTTTTAGCATTTCCAGGAGGGTAGGAGATTCTAGACTGGCTCCCCAAGAGAGGGGTTAGCAGCAGTTTCCTTGACCCTGTGAGACTTGAACCGTCCTGGGTTGGTGAGAGGTTGGCAGCCTACATGGTGGAAAAGGACTCAGGGAGGGGACGGCAACTACAGAATTCACAGGCAGACCCCCAGGTGAAGTGAGAAGGGAGGTCTCTTAGGCTCATTCTATCCCTTAGACATTACACAGATCCAAACTCCCGCACACACCATGATTTGGACCCCCGCATCTCTGCTTCTTGCTACTGTTGTTCTCAGTAGCTTCCCCAAACTAGGTTTTGGGGGGCGACTGATGGCTAAATTGGCATCCAGGAAGCTATGTGCGGATGAAGAGTGCAGCTGTGAGGTTTTGGGGCATGGGGTGTGGTGGGCACTGGGTGCTGGAGGGGAAAGGGTGGGTGCTTTTGGCCAGGAAAAGAGGGCCTGGGCTAGTACTTTATGCCAGGAAGGGCCTGTGATGGGCACCTTATGTTGTCCTGGAAAGGGGAACCAGTGTGGTACTGTGCTACCCCAGGGTCTTACAGGATGGTGCCAGGATTGGCTTTGGGCAGTACCTGGCTTTCCTGTGAATGCTCAGGAGTGGAGGTACATTCAGGAAATGGCACCCTAAGTATTCCCATTAATCCTTTCTGCCCCAGACCCCATCTCTCAGGCCATTGCCCTACAAGATTATTCGGCCCCAGACTGCCGCTTTCTGTCTGTGCAACAAGGCCAGGTCGTCTTTGTCTACTCGAAGCTGGTGGGCCGAGGTCGCCTCTTCTGGGGAGGCAGTGTGAGTCTTGGCTGGGGCCTGGAATTGGGGAGGGATACCAGGAATGCTGTATTCTGGGGACTGGGGGGGGGGGGGGGGAGGAGAAAAGGGATGTGGTGGAAAGGGATCCTGAAGCCCCTATTAAAACAAAAAACAAAAAAGGCATCTAGGTGGCATAGTAAGTAGAGCTGTGGACCTGGAGTCTGGAAGGCCCGAGTTCAAGCCCAGCCTCAGACACTAGCTGTGTGGCTCTGGGCAAATCACCTCTGCCTTCAAGCTTATTTCCCAGGGCTGTTGGCGTGGTCTGGGGTGGTTCTGGCTTTCCAGCCCCTTACCACCTCCCCAACACTCACACACCAGGTTCAGGGGGAGTACTACGGGTCGCAGCCTGCCCGTTTGGGCTACTTCCCAAGCAGCATTCTTCGAGAGGACCATGTCCTGAAGCCAGGAAAGGTGGAGGTGAAAACGGACGTGAGTGCCCAGCAGCCCCTGTCGCTGCCCTTCCCTCTCTTTTTGTCCCCTGGTTGGTCAAAACCTGCCTTCTGATCCCTGACCCACCCCCTAATAGTCAATGGTCTGAGGCAAGCAAGTCCCGCTGCCTTCCTTGGCCCTCAGTTTCCCCATCTATTGACTGAGAACCTTGGACTGAACAGATGACCTCTCTGAGCTGCTCTGTTTCCTCATCTGCAAATTTGGGAAGAGTTGAATTAAAGAACCCTAAAACCTTTATTCAGGCTCACATTTTTATATTTAATCTCTTCTGAGACCTGCCTGCCCTGCGATTCCCTGGTCCTAAGATTTTTGTAGAAATATTTTGGCTTCCCTGGCACGGGACTGGCATTTTGGGGACCCTCCTCCTACTTCCCACATCTCACCACATCCCCTCCAGACCCCCTGCCCCCTGCCCATCCCCCCCGTCTCTTTTTACAGAAGTGGGACTTTTACTGCCAGTGAGTCCAGGCTGCTGTTGCCCCTGCCTCTGTCCAGCAGGAGAAGCTGATGCTGGCCCTGAGCCCCAGGACGTCTGCTTCCCACCCTCACCATTGTACCCCTTGCCCAGCTTTGTGCCAATAACACCCGTGTGCAGCAGAGAGTCCGGTGGCGGTGATTCTGTGTGTGCGCGTCTGCGCGTGAGTGTGTGTAGGTACAGGGTTGTGGCACACCCAGAGCCGGCCTTCGTGACCGTCACTAGTTGCCAGGCAGACTTTCCCTTTCCGAGGGCTCCAAAGACCCGGCTATTCTTGCCTCCTTCCGGCGGGGCATCGGAAAGAAACCAATCAGAAGGTGGGGGTGTGGCTAGGCCAATTTGGAGGGAGGAGCCAGAAGGGGACAGATTTAGGGCTGGGAGAACTGACTCAATAGATGCCAAAGTGGGCGGGGCCCAAATGAGAACAGGCCAATCAGGTTGCGAGGCAGGGTCACCATCGCTCAATAGGAAGCCTCTTGGGGATCACCGAGCCAATCAGAAATCCCTAGGTGAGAGGCCGCTTCTCTTGGTTGCCCTCGGGTTCAGCGATGATTCGGGATCAGTAGTCACGGGGGTGGGGCGATCCTGTTGCCCTTTTCTGTGCTCTTGTCTCCGCTCCTGGTCTCATGCGCCCTCTGGGCTAGTCCTGGCCCTGTCCTCGCCTCCTTTGTATGCTTCTCGGCTAATCGCAGGTTCCGGCTTTCGAGTCCTTTCCTCTTCGCCGATCCTGGCCTTCCTCTCGATCTCTTCAATTCATCCCTGGTCTATCCCGGGCCGTGGCAGACCCCTCCTCCTGCGCTCGAAATCCCGTCCCTTTCGCGGCCCTGCTTCCTATTCCAGAGCCCGCCTCCTCCCTCCTGACCAATCGTGGGCCCAGATTCCCCCTTTCCCCATCCAAGGCCCGCCCCACTCTGGTCGCCAACCCTCCCTTGCTGGCTCTGCCAATCCACGGCGTTCCCCCTTCCCCTTTCCGTGGCCAGGACTAATCAAGCGCCAAGATCAGGGCCCTGCCCACTTTCTCCGGCCCCTTTCCGCGGGTCGCACCCCGCAGCCTCGGCTCCCCTCCCCCCTCCCCCCGCGCCGGCCTGGGAGCCAATCGCTTGCCCGAGCCGCGGCTCCGCCCCCTCCTGGAGGGGGCGTGTCCTCTGAGGCCGCAGCGAGGCCGGGGCCGCGGCGCGGAGCCGGAAGGAGGAGGCGCGGGGCCGGAGCCGGAGCCGGAGCCGGAGCCGGAGCCGCAGCCGCAGCGGCCGCCGCGGCCAGTCATGGCCGAGACGTACGGTGAGGAGGGGCCGGGCCCGGGGCCGGGGCGGGTCGGTACCCCGGGATCCCCCTCCCCCCAGCGCTGCTGTGTGACTCCGGGCTGGGCGCTGCCCTCTCTGGGCCCAGCGCGTCCCTCCATCTCCATCTCCATCCCCATCTCTGCCTCTGTCTCTGCAGATTTCCTCTTCAAGTTCCTGGTCATCGGCAGCGCGGGCACCGGCAAGTCATGCCTTCTCCACCAGTTTATCGAGAACAAGTGTAAGGACCCCCCACCTGCGTCTGTGCGGGCGGGGCCCGGCCCCGTGGTCCGACTGGTGAAGGGGCCGAGGGAGCGGGGATGCGCGGGTGTCGTGGGGGGGGGCGCGGCTTCGGTCCCCGTTCGGGCCCTGACGCCCCCTCCCCCTCCCCAGTCAAGCAGGATTCCAATCACACCATCGGCGTGGAGTTCGGCTCCAGGGTGGTCAACGTGGGGGGAAAGACGGTGAAACTGCAGATCTGGGACACGGCCGGCCAGGAGCGCTTCAGGTGTGGGGGCCCGGGGGGCTGCGGGGAGGAGCGGGGCGGGGGTCTGCGCTGGAGACCGCACCTTCGGGTGGCCAAGCTCGGGACCCACCCTCCGCTCTTTGCAGGTCAGTGACGAGAAGTTACTATCGGGGAGCGGCCGGAGCGCTGCTGGTCTATGATATTACCAGGTGGGTGACTGGGGGCCTGGCTGGGGGTCGAGCGGGAGGGGGGACAGCCACTGAATCTCTGCTGCCTCTTCTCCTGCTCCCCAGCCGGGAAACCTACAATTCCCTGACCAACTGGCTTACGGATGCGCGGACACTGGCCAGCCCCAACATCGTGGTCATCCTCTGTGGGAACAAGAAGGATTTGGACTCGGAGCGGGAGGTCACCTTCCTGGAGGCCTCCCGATTTGCCCAGGAGAACGGTGAGCTCCCAGTCAGACCTGGGTGGGTTGGGGCAGGAAGCAGCCACGGGGACATGGAGATGCCAGGAGTTCCCAGAGAGCTCCGTGGCTGGGTGATGTACTGTGTGTCAAGGTTATCCCAAGAGCTCTGTCCACTTAGGACAGTCTGTGTTCTAAGGATGCCCCGAGGGTTCTACTTCTGACACCGTGTTCCAGCATACCCCAAGGCTTCCATGGACTTGCACTGCTCTGTGTTCTAGGATATCCCAAAGACTGTCCACTTATGATAACTCTGTGTTCTGAGGATGCCCTAAGGGTTCTGTCTACCTATGACACTCTTGAGTTCTAGGATACCCAAGGGTTCTGTCCACTTATGGTACTCTTGTGTTCTAAGGCTGCCTAAGGGCTCTGTCCACTTGGGACACTTTGTGTTCTAGGATATCCCCAAAGCTCTGTCCACTTGTGATACCCTGTTTATGCTGCTCCAAGGATTCTATCCATTTCTGACATTGTGTTCTGGGCTGCCCCCAGGGCTCCATCTACCTTATGATACACTGTTCTAGGCTGCCCCAAGGGTTCTTCTGTCTTGGGGTGACATTTGGTGTTAGACGTTGCTCAGTGGGGTGTATTCCTGCATAGCACTCCGTGGTCTAAGTGCCGCATGGGTTCTGTCCCTCTCTAATACTCAATGTATTAGAGGTTGAGAGAAGGGAGAGTAGATGACATCTCTCCCACTCTGACCCTCTGGGGGTCAACTGGCTCCCCTGCTTCCTACAGAGCTGATGTTCCTGGAGACCAGCGCCTTAACAGGCGAGAATGTAGAAGAAGCTTTTCTCAAGTGTGCCCGAACCATCTTGAACAAGATCGACTCGGGTGAGGTCCCATATGGGGGCAGCCAGGGAGGGTGCTGGGGAGGCACGCAGGGCCCTCATTATCTCAGTCCGTGTACCTGTCTCTCTGCATCTCTGGTTGCTGTCAGAGTCAGCCTAAGCCTCCCAGTGGGCCTTTCTCTCTGGGTCTGTCACATCCCATGTCTGTTTCCCTCTTCCTTGTCCCTTTTCCCCTCTAGGTGAACTGGACCCAGAGAGGATGGGTTCGGGCATCCAGTATGGTGACGCCTCCTTACGGCAGCTTCGCCAGCCCCGGGGTACTCAGGCCCAGAGCAGACAGCAATGTGGCTGCTGACTTTCCTCTCTTCCTTGTGGCTTTGAGGGTTGGACATCCGCCTCCACTCTGGGATGCCAGAGAGAAGCTGTGGAATGGGGACCTGGGGACCAGCCGTATCCAACACCTTTTCCCCATTCTACTCCCTTTCTTTGCCTGGTTTGACCCACAGCCCTCCCCCTCCCATCCTGCCCCAGTTTCTCTGAGAGGGCATTAAGCACAGAGTGGGCTCCTGTACTCCAGGGGGGACTGGGAGGGACCCTTGTCTGAGCCATTGAGGGCGGAGCTAGGGGGACACGCTCCCTCCCCCCTCCCCCATCTACAACCCTGAGCCTTGGGGTGGGCTATACCTGGCTTGTCACCAACCTTATAACCTTTTTCATTATCTGAACTCTGGGACCAGGGGCTTGAGCCCCCACCAGTCTCTACCCTCCCAGAACTCCCAGGGCCCTGCTGACCCTTGTAAATGGTATTTATTAGACTGGGGGGGGCATTAAGGTGGGGAGGGGACCATCATCGAGTCTGTTTCCACATACACACGCACACACACTATATATATTGATATATAAAATGATGTTTTTTTTTTCCAACTCTGTCTCAGTTTTCTTAGTCATGGGGTCAGAAATTCAGGAAAAGGGGTGGGAACTCTAGAATGATAACTTCAGGATTTAGGGGATGGGCAGGCTCCAATAGCTGGCATGGGGACTGCCCATAGGTGAATACACATGGCCGAAGGGCCTGGCTGGGGTGGTGTGGCCTGGCCCAGGTGAGGTCTGAGGACTGTGGAGTGGGAGCCAAGGTCAGGGGTGAGGCTTGGAAGGGAGGAGCCTGGGCAAAGTACCACACCTAGGATGGGGACTGGGAAAGGGGGGAGGGGGTTGGATGGATGGGTGGGGTTATTAGGTTGAGGACTTGTGGGGGAGAGGGGAGAGGTCACAGGAACTCAGAGGGTGGAAAGAAGGTTGGGCATGCAGAGCTGGAGGTCCAGAATGGAGACTGGGATAAAGGGCATATATGAGTCGGGTGGGGGGGCAGGGTTCCCCACTACCTCCCTCATACACATGACAAATACCTTGCCTTGTCCTAGGAGAGGCCTGTCAGCCCAGGAAAGAATTCCCTGTCTGGGCTTGGGGCATGGGGAAGAGGGGCAAGTGGTAATCCTTATTCCCCTCCCTGGGGTTCCCCGAGGCCTGGGGCTCCCAGAACACATCTCAGCCCCAACTGTCCAAGCATCCAGGCCTGGGCAGTTCCTGGAAGGTTCCCAGCCCCCTTCCACCTGTTCTGGGGGTGGGGGGTGGGGAAGGAGAGTGGAATGTGTGCCTCCCTCCTGGCCCCTAGGCTGCCTGGGTCACGTACCCCATGTTCCTGTCCCTGTCCCTGTGGGATAGCCTTGCCAGGGAAGGGGGTGAGTGGAGGGCACAGGAGGGGGTATTTATAGAGTGTCCTGCAAATTCACCTTCCAGGGATAGCAGGCTGACATCCTGTCCCCCCCTCCCTCCGAGATTGCCTCAGATTTCTCTGTAGATGCAAATCTTACAAGGGCAGAGCTGTTTGCACATGAGCTCCCTGAGGGCAGGGACCCTGATTTTGCCTTTCTTGTGTCTGTGGCCTTAGCTCAAGGGCTGGCACCTAGTAGGTGCTTAATAAATGCTTGGTGACTTCTTGACCGAGGTGACTATTCCCTCGGACCCTGGGGTCCTCCCCCCACCCCCACTTCTGGTTGGTGTCCTCCCTGGGAAGGAGAGTCAGGGGCTGGGGGCCAGGAGGAACCTGGGATCCTGGGATCTAAAAATGGGGAGAGGGGCCAGAAGGATCGAGGGAGGGGGAGTGAACAAGAGGGGACACTGAGGGAGGGGTTCCCTGGGAGGAGGGGTCACTGGGGGAGTGCTTGATTGGGAGGGTCCAATGTGGCCACAGCACTACTTTGGGTCACCTTGGGCTAATCCCTTCTCTCTACCTCAGTTTCCTCATCTGTAAAATTAGGGGCTTTTGGACGACCTGACTCCTGGGCTCCTTCCAGCTCAAAATCTGGGACCCTGTGAAGGGGACACTGGAAGGGACATGGGGGACAAGGGGGGGTGAGGACGACTGTGGGGAGGAGTCACTGGGGGCAGTGAGTGGAGGGGACACTGGGGGAGGGGTCACTGGGTCAGTGAGTGGAGAGGACACTGAGGAGTCACTGGGGTAGTGAGTGGAGGGGATACTGGGGGAGGGGTCATTGGGGGGCAGTGGGTGGAGGGGACACTGGGGAGTCACTGGGGGCAGAGGCAGCAAGAGGCAGAGGGAGACGGGGGTGGCAGGGGGTGGCGGGGGGGGGGGGGGGGGGGGGGCTTGGGGGGGGGGGGGGGGGGGGGGGGGGGAAAGGGGGGGGGGGGGGCCCCGGGGGGGGGGGCCGGGGGGGGGGGAGGGGTCTCCAGCTCCCTCCCCTCCCGGGCCAGGCCCTGCCCTCCCCTCCCCCCCTCCCCCCTCCCCCGCGGCTCCTGCGCACGCGCGCACCCACCCACTCCTCCCTCTCCCCTCCCCCGCCGGCTGCTCACGGTCACGTGCAGGGGCGGGGCCCCAGGGCGGGGTCTGGGGGCGGCCGGGGGCGGGGGATGGCGCGCGGCGCTGCGCGGGGCGGCTGGCACAGGCGGCGGCGCCGGGGCCGGAGGAAAAACCCCGGTGAGTGGGGGAAAGGGGGGCGCCCGGGGCGGGGGCCGGCCCCGCGGAGGCGGGGGGCGGGTGGGGCCCTCGCGGGACCAGACGGGGCAGCCGTTGGGGGAGGTGAGGGGCGCGCGCCGCTCCCCCCAGCTCCCTACCCCCAACCGCTGCTGTGTCGGCTCAGCCCGGCGGGGAGGGGGTGGGGAAGGGGTTCTGGGAGCTGGGGGGAGGGGGGCGCTCACCCGGCCCGTCTCCCTAGCCCGACTCCCTCTCTGGACTGCCCTGGGTCCTCCCGCCACCCCCATCCCCGCTCAGGGTCCCCCTTCCTCTCCCCGCCTCCCAGTTCTGGCTCCCCCGTCTCTTCTCCCCTCGACCCCCCAGGCACCCTGCTCTTGTCCCCTCCCACCTCTGGGTCCTCCCTCTCCTCCCCCATCCACACCCCAGACCCCCTCCTCTCCCTCTTTCCCACCTCTGCGTTCTCCCTCCCCTCCCCCATCCACACCCCAGACCCCCTCCTCTCCCCCTCTCCCACCTCTGCGTTCTGTCTCCCCTCCCCCATCCGCACTCCAGGACCCTTCTCCCTCCCTTCCCTTTCTGGGTTTCTCTTTTCCTTCCTCTACCCCCAGGCTTCTCCTCCTCCCCTTCCCTTCCCACCTCTGGGTCCCCCTTCTCTTACTTCATCTTCACCTCAGACCCCTTCTTCTCCCCTCCTATTTCTGGCTCCTCCCCCCTCCATCCCCCAGTCTCCCTTCTCCCTTCCTCTTTATCCCCCTCAGGCTCCCTCTCCCCGACCTGCCCCCCAGTCTTTCTCTCGTCTTCCTTTCTCCTTCCTGAATCTCCTCTGACTCTTCCCTCACCTCCCACAGCCCCTTTCTGCCCCCTGACCTCACAGACACCCTCCAATCCCTTTGCCCTCCCTCTTCCTCCTAACTTCCCATTCCTGGGTCCCCTCTCCCCGGTATGCTGCACGAACTTGGTCTCCTCTTGCCCCCCAGGCTGCTTGCCCTCTCTCCTTGCCAATCCAAAAGCCCCCCCTCCCCTCCGCCCCCTTGGCAGGCCTGAGGCCTCCCCTTTTCCCTTCTGCCCCTCAGGCCCCAGTTCCTTCCATCCCTCTTCTGGGGGCTCTCTTGGTTCCCCAGCTTTCTTTACCAGATTCCCCAGCCCCACTTCCATCCCTGGAGCCCTCCTCTCCTGTGCCCGCTGGCCCTCCTCCTCCTCCTTCTTCCCCTTTGGCATTCTTGGATCCCCTCTCAGCCTCTCAGTGGGTCCTTCCCCCTCCCTTTCCACCTCTGCGTCCCCATTCTTGTGTGGCCCAGGCCCTGGTTCCTCTCCCCCTTCCCGGGCCTGTGTCCTGTTCTGCTCACTCCCTTCCTCACGACCCTCTCCCTCTTCCCCCTTCTATTTTGAGGATCCCCCATCACTTCCCTCCTTTACTGCCCTCCTCCAGCATTTCCTCAGCTCCCTTTCCTCTCCCTGCCCGGGGTCTTCCTTCTCTCCCCCTCTCCTTCCCCCCCCCCCCGGGCCTCCCGGTGCCCCCCCCTTGCTCCCCCTCCCGGGTCTGGCTTCCCCTTCCCCCCCTCTAATCCCTTACCGTCCCGGGATCCCCTTCCCCCATAAGCCCCCATGTTCCTCTTTGGGCCTTGAGTTGCCCCCTGCCCCCTCTGCCTCATTGTGCCTGGTCTTCCTTCCCCCAGCTGCCCTCTTCTGCCGGGCTTCTTGGATCTCACACCTCCCTGTCTTTCTCTGTAGCCCCCGTTGGTCATCTCCTCGGACCACTGCTGCCTCACAAAGGCCCAAGGACAACGGGGGATCATGTCCCAGGTTCCCCGGCTATGAGAAGAGCTGTCTGCCCAGTCCCATTCAGTCCTGTGCCAGGCTCTGCCACTGTTATCCCCAGCTGCAGTGAGAGGAGGAGGAGGCTGGCACCATGGGCCCGGGCAGTGTCCTCCATGCCTGGGGGATGAAAACGCTGCCATGGACAGCCCATGCCAGTCCGACCTCCTGAGCAGGAGTCTCCCTCAGCTGCCCACTGTGGACACCCCTGGGCACAGCCTTTCCAGGATGGGCTTGGAGAGCTACATATCCTGTCCTTCGCAGCCCTCCTTCCACCTGTCTGGTCCTTGTGAGGCTTTGGCTGGCCCCAGCAGCAGTGGGGGTGGCCCTCTGCCCCCAGGAGCCGGGATCCCCTCAGCTGCTGCCAGCCCCATGCCCGAGGGGCGCAGTGGGCAAGGGGGAGGGGAGCTGCGACCCTTACAGAGTGAGGGGGCTGCTGTGCTGATCACCAAGGAGTGCCCGCTGCTGGCTGCCCGGGGGGCCCAGCCCAAAGCCCCTAAGCGGAAGCGGGCCGAGAGTGGTGGCGACACCCCGCCCGGCAAGCGGCGCTGGGTGGAGGAGGGCAGTGAGACACCGGTGCAGAGGGAGGCCATTGTCTCTGGCGCCGAGCGGCTGGCTGTGGACTACATCGTGCCCTGCATGCAATGCTATGGCATCTGTGTGAAGGATGGCTTCCTCGGGGCAGCCTTGGGCAGCCGAGTGCTGGCGGAAGTGGAGGCCTTGAACCGAGATGGGCGCTTTCGGGATGGACAGCTTGTGAGCCAGCGGGCAATCCCCTCGCGTAGCATCCGGGGAGACCAGATTGCCTGGGTGGAGGGGCGTGAGCCGGGCTGCGAGAGCATCGGGGCCCTGATGGCCCACGTGGATGAGGTGATCCTACACTGTGCCGGGCGCCTGGGCAGCTATATCATCAATGGCCGGACCAAGGTGAGGCCCAGGCCCAGGGGAGCTTGCTGGGCCTCAGTTTCCCCCAGTGCTCCGAGGCTCTTGTCTGCTTCCTTGGCGGCCCTCAGGGGGCTTGGTGGGCACAAGGCAGGTTCTGCCTTGCCCAAGCCACCCGGGCACCATGGCCCCAGCACTTTTGTGACCCTTGTTTCTTTCCATCTCTGCACCTCAGCTTCCTCCTCTGTAAAAATTCTGAATCCCAGGATTTGGGGAGCGTGTGTGTGTGTGTGTGTGTGTGTGTGTGTGTCTGGCCCTCCCTGACTGGCTTTCTCTTTGCCCTTAGGTGTCTATTCTTCCTCTCTCTCTCTCTCTGTCTCCCTCTCTCTGCCTCAGTTTCCCCTTTCTCTCCTTCCCTCTTTCCCTTACTGCCCATCTCTCTGCCTTCTTTCCTCTCCATTTCATTCTTCTTCTTTCCTTTTTCTTTATCTTTCTTCTCGTAAGCCTGTGTTCCTCCTCCTCCTTCCCCTTTCACCATCTCTCTGTCTCCCCCCCTCTCTTCTCCCTCTCTGTGTCTCTGCCTCTCCCCCTCTCCCCTTCTCTCCCTCCAGGTCTTGTCCCTGGTATCTCTCCCTGGACAGGGGTTGGGATTATGTAACTGGGAGGGCCCAGCCCTGTCTCTTGGGAGGACCTGGCCCATGGAGCCCCTGCTGGGGAGGTAGAAGGCTCTCCCCCACCCCCACCTGGACCAGGCTCTTGAAGGCTTCTCTCTTCCTGCTCTCTCCCGTTACTTGATAGCGCCCAGCGGTCCCTCCCTTGGCCTTGCCCCAGCTAGTGGGTGGGTCCTGGCCGTCCCCACCCTCTGCCCCCTGGAGTTAGCCCAGAGCTGTGTGGCTTCAATCATTAGCTCCCAGACTGTGGACCTCCACTGTCAGGTGGAGATGACATGGCTCAGGGTGGCAGTGGCCCTCATTTGGAGTCTGCCAGTCCTGACTCCACAGTGTCAGGTGACCTTGGGTCAGTACCTTTCCCTCTTGGGGCTCAGTTTCCTCATCTGTCAGATGAACAGGTTGGACTTAGGTGCTCTTGGTGCCAAGCCTGGGAAGAACAGATGCTCATGGGGGTGTCAGGGGGCGGGGCTTCTTTTGGCCATCCCTAGGGGCTTCTTCTTGGCTTAGGTGTAAGAATACACCCTGTGGGAATGGGGGAAGGGAGAGGACAGGACAGGATAGGATGGGCCATTGGCCCCTCCCAGGCCCTCCCCTGCTCCCTGGAGACAGCATCTGTGGGCTTTTCCTGGCTTAAAAGGGCAGTAGCTGGGGGAGGGACTGAGGTAGGGGCTGGGGGTGTCCCTCAGAGCTCTCAAGAGGCAAAGATTGACCTGGTGTGGTTAGATGCTGGCTGCTCTGCCCTGTTTCTTCCTGTGAGTGTCCTGCCCATCTCCTCTCTCTCCTCCCATAAGTGTGCCCCTGTGCCCTCTGCTCACTGGTGGTCCTTGGGGCTGCCAGTGGGGGATGGGGCTGGGCCAAAGGGACCTAGGTTCCTTGGGTATTCTCTTAAGAGCTCTGAGTGGGTGGGGCCTGCCATCATTGGCCCTGGCCCTAGTCTCTGACGAATTTAGGGAATCAACCCTGGGAGGCCCTTAACTCTTTCCTTTCTGGACATTTGGCTGGCCTGGAGATGGGGGTGGCCTGGGGGAGGGGCCTTCTCACCTTGTGGCCAAGGCCCTGTCCAAGCTGCTGGGGTCAGGAGCAGGAAGTAGAGATCTCCCCAGAGCCAGGGGCCTGCCATGGAGCTGGCCCTTTCCAGGGCTGGCCCTAGTGCCAGATCTGGGACGGAAAGTGCAGGGAAGTGGTGAGCTGCTTGCCCGCAGGCATCTTACGCTTTAGTTGGGGGAGACTTTAAGAAGAGACTTATCCATACCAGAGGGTGAACAGCCAAGGGTTAGTCTCATCCCAGCGAGGTGGGACTTCCAAGTCCATCCCCATCACCTCCTTATGTGGCCCAAGAGGAAGCTGAGGCTTTGGGGCCTGTTGGAAGTAGATGAGGGTTCTGTGTGTGTGTGTGTTCATGACCGTGTATCTGCCTCCTGTCCCAATGGGTCGGGCCTTGGATCTGGCACTGTGGGGAAGGGGCAATGAGGCTGTCTCTCCTTGAAAGGTGTGAGGGGGAGGGCCCCAGACCTGAGTTTGAGCTCGGACTCTGCTGTTGATAATTAGCTGGGTGATCTTTAGCAGTCCCCTTTGGCTGGGCCTCAGTCTCTCCATTTGTAAAATGAGGGGCTTGGACTTGATGGTTTCAGAGGCCTTTTCCAGCTCTAGCGTTTGTTCTGTTAAGGCAACTTTACCTCTAAGAAAACATGTATTAATTGCCTACTGGGTGCCAGGCATGGTGCTAATCATTGGGGATGCAGAGAAAGCTAGAAGGCAGGTCGTGCTTTCTAGGAGGCTCACAGTCTCATGAGGGAGACCCCGGGGGGGTGGAGCCTGTAGAGGACGATTCCCCAGCTTCCCTAGGAGGGGCGGCTCAGCAGGCCCTGCCGGATTGCCCCCAGCTGCTTTAACTGTTGAGCCCTCAAGTGTATTTGGAGTTGCTGGTGAGGGTCTGCCTTCCCCTGGTGGGAGAGTGCCATGGGCCCAGGAAGGCTGCACAGGGATGGGAACCCCTCTGGTTGTTTGGGCCTGAGGAAGGAAGGGTAGAGGAAGCACCTGGTTGAGAGCCCTGTGGGAAGAATGAGCTTGACTTGTTGTCTGGGAAAGAGCTCTGAGTTTAAGTCTTGTTCTGCCATTGAGGCTGGGGGGGGCCTCAGGCCCTGGGTCCCAATTTGTACTGGCCTCAGTAGCTCCCGTTTGTGGGGGTGCAATGGAAGCAGAGTTTCTTTATGGAGAGGGCTAGAGGTCATGAAGACCTGGTTTCAGGTCCCACCTTTAACTCTATGCAACTAGCTTGAAGGAGGGAATTCTGAAGGTGGCAGACTGGAAAGTTCTTCCAAAGTGGGCAGCAGCTCTGCGCTCTCTGGTGCGGGCATCTTCCCCAAATGGCACGTGGGGAAACTGAGAGATGGTGTGATTTGCCCATGGCCTTGGAGTTGGCGAGCACCTGGGGATGGCGGCCATTGGTAGCTGCCATGTTATGGGGCCAGGTCTGCCTCTGACACTCAGCAGCTAGCCTTGGGCTCCCCTTCCCTTGCCTTTCTCCTGCATTGGGTTAGATGGCCTCCAAAGAGCTCCCTTCTAGGCTGTGACCCCGTTCCTGTCAGGATCAGGAGGCGTCGTGGGGTGAACCCCTTTAGGGCAGAGAGAACGTATCCTCATTGAGGAGGGAGATCGAAGTCAAGTGTGTCAAGCCCCTGCCAACTTTGGAGATTCTGTGCTGGAGGTGGTAGGGCCCCAGGTGCCAGGGAACTGAAGAGGCAGTGAACTGGGCAATGCCAGGGAGAGAGGTCAAAGCAGGGCCGGGGGAGGGAGGAAGTGTTCTCTAGAGGGCCCAGGAGCCAGTGTGGTGAGTGACTGTGCAGTGGGGACAGCTAGGCTCTCCATTGTAGCTACCCCCAGGCCCCAAGGTTGTCAGTGCGTTTGGCACATAGTGTGGCTGGGTGCCTAGGGCCATGAGGTGGGCACAGTCCAGTTGCTGAGCCTGGCTGGAGCTGATGCCAGGGGCTGAAAGAGGGCATTTCCCTAGTTCCTTTATCCTTTTCTGGATTCACCATCAACTTAATCTTCACCGTCTCGTCTGTGCCACCTCCCAAACACCCCCATTTGATGTTCAAGGAAACTAAACTGGCCCAGTGGTTAGAGTCCTGGATCTGGTGTTATGAAGACCTGAGTTCTAATGTCACCTGAGACACTACCCCCCCCCCTTTTTTTTGGCAATTGGGGTTAAGTGACTTGCCCAGGGTCACACAGTTAGTGTCACCACCTAGCTGCCCCTCTGAGACACTACTTGTAGCGCCCCTGGCAAGTCACTTTAACCTTTCTCAGCCTCAGTTTTCCTCCTCTGTAAAATGAGGATAATGCCTGCTTCCCAAGGTGGTTGTCAGGATCAGATGAGGTAATGGTTGTCGAGTGCTTTGCAAACCTCAAGCAGTGCTGCCTATTATTAAGAAATCCAGGAGGCAGGCAAAGTGGGAGTGGGGACGGACAGACAGGCATCTCAGAACTTGGCCTTTGATTGGGAACTGCTGTGTAACAGGGAAATGGAGATTTGGCAGATGCACAGTGAACCAAGCCGTCAAGCAACAAGCATTTATTAATTACCTACTGTGTACCAGGCACTATGCTAGGCATCAGGGATACAAATCCAAGTGTGCAATGAGGACCGAAGTCAGAAAAGTGTCCGTGGGGATGGGAAGAGATGACATTCTCAATCAGACCATCTCTTAGACCAGGCAGTTATGGGCCAGGAGAGGACAGCTGTAGCGTGCTGCTGGCTGGGGGATGTTCGAGGCTTGCCTGAGCTCTGTGAGTGGGTTGCTGGGAAACAGACTTGGCAGCAGGAGCGGTGGGAAGGTCAGTGGGATGGCGCTGGTGTTCTGCAGGGTTTGGGGGGTGGCATTCTGGGATTGAAGACAGTGTTCTGCAGGGTCTGAGGGGTGGCATTCTGGGATTGAAGACGCAGGAGGGCTGTGAGGGTAGGGCCTTCTGTTCTGTCTTTGGTCATGCCAATGCCTAGGCCAGAATCACCTCGTGTGGAACTATTGGGAAGTGTTTGTGGAGTCAAATGGGGGCCCTCATCCAGCTGACAGCCCTCCCCCATCCGAGTCTGGTCAGCACTGGTCACAATGGCACCACAGCCCCCTGTCCCTCTTCAGCATCCCCTAAGGATAGCTGAACCACCCGTGGGCTGAGTCCACACCTCTCAAGTCAGGAAGTCATTCTGGGTGGTTGCCCTCTGTTATTGCGGTCAACTGGGAGCTGTAGTTTGTCTTAGACCAAGCTTTCCTGGGTTAAAAATAGCCACATTTGTATAGGGCTTTACGGATTTATCTCATTTGACCCTCCAATACTGTTAGCTTAATTTATTGTTAGGTTCAGTTTACAGATGAAGAAACAGAGGCAGGCAGAAATTTAAGTGACTTGCTTAGGATCACACAATTCATAAGGATTTGAGCTCAGGTCAGTCCAGGGCTCTGTCCACTGGGCCACCGTGCTTCCTAGGCTTCTTCAAAAAATGTCTCGTTTTTATATCACTTTCAGAATACAATCTTTCTTTCTCCAGAGAGCTGCCCCTTGTAACAGTTAAGAAGTAGGGACAGCTTGGCACAGCTAACCCTTAACAACCCCATGAGCTGTGTTTCCTACCTACAGTCCCTCTCTCTGAAAAGGGCTTGGGCTCATTCATCTCCAGGGCCAGGTGTGGTCTTTATAATCCGAGTTCTTTCCATTTCCATCAACAAAAGGTAAGAGCTCCGGAGAAAACTGCCCTGGCAGCCAGGGCCAGGGCCACCTTCTAGGCTGCTCTGTCAGCCTGACATGGATGGAAAGGGCAGGCCTGCTTTTGTGGAGGGATATCACAGGCCCTGCACCCATTCTAATCCCTACCCATTTTTGTGGAGTCACTTCACCTGAGTCTTCAGGCTACTCTGAATTCTTCCTGTCCCACCATTTCTTCATCTTAATCTAAGAATCACATTTTTTTTTTTGATTAGGCAGTTGGGGTTAAGTGACTTGCCCAGGGTCGCACAGCTAGTAAGTGTCAAGTGTTTGGTCTGAGGCTGGATTTGAACTCAGGTTCTCCTGACTTCAGGGCCTGTACTCAATCCATTGCACCACCTAGCTGCCTGAAGAATCCCATTTTCTGAAAGGAAGGTATATAGCGAATGGATCCGTGGACCTGGTGATGGGAGAACCTGAGTTCAAATCCACCTCAAGCACTTACTACTTGTGTGACCCTGGGGAAAGTCCCTTAACCTCAGTCTGCCTCAGTTTCCTCATCTGTAAAGTGGAGTCATACCAGCACCTACCTCCCAGAGTTGTGTGGATCCAGTGACGTTTGTGAAGCACCTGGCCAGCCTTAAAGTGCTGTATAAACAGCAGTAGCCTACAACATTGCATTGCTTTCATACTCCCTGGGAGACAGGTACCCCTTCATCCTTCCAGTTTTTTGCCTCCAGCAGGGCTGAAAATGTATTTTATGTTTGGGGCCTCTCCCTCCGCCCTTGACCTGCTTTGTTTTCTTAGGGCTCATCAGGCCCCAGGCACTGGCCAGCACGGCCAGGGCCCCAGTTTCTTCTCCAGTCTTGTGTTTAACTTGTCTGGTTTTCTTGGGGGAGGAGCGTCCTGACGGCCCCGCCCCTCTGTGCCTCCCGCAGGCCATGGTGGCTTGTTACCCTGGTAACGGGCTGGGCTATGTTCGGCACGTGGACAACCCCCACGGGGATGGGCGCTGCATCACCTGTATCTATTACCTGAACCGGAACTGGGACATAAAGGTAGGGTCCCCGAGGGGGAAGCGGGGTGCATGCGTGTGGGGGTGCCCTTGGAAGGGTGTGCCTGCAGCTAGCTGTGCTTTAGTTCATCACCCCTCTGTGTGAGGATGGTGCCGTCCTCCCCATCTTTTCCATGCTCCCCTACCCAGTGCATGGAATGGTGCGGTCCACCGGCTGTCCTCCCTCGCGTACCTGGAATGGCGAGTTCTGTTCTTCCTTCACCCTTCCCTTGGCAGCTTCCATTCCTCCCCCACCCCATATACGGAATGGTGCAGTCCGCCTCGCCTGGTCTGTAATAAACATCCCCCCTTCCCCCCACTTCCTGTCTTTGGTGGCTTCCTGGACATCTCTATGGCAACGGGTTTGGGATAGCATCCCTCCTCTTGTGCAGATGAGGGAGGCGGGGCTGTAAACGGCCCTCAACCTCGGGGTTATGCGCCCCCTGGTGGGAAACCCTGGAGCCTGGAAACCTCCCTGAGCGTCCTCCGCCCCCTAGTGGGAAGCCCCCAGGGGTGCAGAGGCTGGAGGTGGGGCCAGTTTCGCTCTGACGTCTGACTTGGCTAGCTTGTTCCCGGGCACAGATCCACGGTGGCTTGCTGCAGATCTTCCCCGAGGGTCGGCCTGTGGTGGCCAACATCGAGCCTCTGTTTGATCGGCTGCTGATCTTCTGGTCGGACCGCAGGAATCCCCACGAAGTGAAGCCAGCATACGCCACCAGGTGCGCCCTTGCCCACACTCCTCCCTTACCTCCGGGGACCGCTGAGGCAGCTGCTTGGGCCTGGGCAAGTCCAGCAACCCGCCTGGACCCCTGCTTCTCCAGGGGGAAGGGCTTCTGACATTTACTTGTGGCCTCCAGTGCACAAAGTAAAATGGGCAGAGTTCCGAGGGAAACCTGTTATGTCTCAGTCCAGCTGTGCCCAGACCCCCCTGGAATTCCCCACCGACTCTGAGCCCTGGGTTTGAATCCTGGCTCTGACTCTTAGTACTTGTGTGGCGTCAGGCCAATCACTCCCTCCCTGGGCCTCAGTTTACTCATTTCCTAGATGACTTCTGAGTTCTTTTTTATCTCTAGATCTAGGCTTGGTCCATAACAGCTCGAGTGTGGGTTTGGGGGTTCATCCCTGCTGTGGGGATGGGAGCTCAGCACCCCCTTGGGTCCTGTTTAGACCCCAGAGGGTCATGAGGTGGGCATTCTTTGTGTGCCCAGGTACGCCATCACTGTCTGGTATTTTGATGCCAAGGAACGGGCTGCAGCCAAGGACAAATATCAACTAGGTACCTGCTTCCTGGTCCTCCCTCTCACTGTCCTCTGCCTTCTGGGGCTCCCCAGCTCCATGGCCCCCTCCTCCCATCCTCCTCTCTCCCCCAGCCTGCCCACCAAGTCTCTCCTTCAGTTGGTGGCCATTCCGTTTCCCTCCAGCCTCCTGGCCCCCTCCTCTACCACATCCTCCCTCCCTTCCCCGGGATCAGTCACGTGACTCATTCTTGACCTCCAGTTAATTCAGTGTCTTTCTGTGTCTCTGTAGCATCAGGCCAGAAGGGCATTCAGGTGCCAGTGTCCCAGCCAGGCCAGCCTACCTAGTGGAGAGCACTTGGAACCAGCCAGATGGTCCCCCACCCTGTGCTGCTCTGCTGGCTGCCGGGCTGGGCCGTCCCGGACACCGTGGCCGTTCTCTCTACTGCTGCTTCTGCCTTTGCCTGCCTGCCTTCCCCCTCCCCATGTGGGTGGAGGGGTTACTGCCAGTCCTGGCGCAGCGGGAGCTGGGCAGGGACAGGCAGCATCCCGTGCACGTGGCCCTTCCCCCAGCTCCGTAAGGAGTGAGCCTCCCATGGACTCGACCCACAGTGGGCCCCCCTGGCACTGTCCCCTCTAACCAGGATACAAGATTGGAATTATTGGGGGTGGGGAGGGTCATGGCCTCTTGCTGGCAGGGGGGATGGGTGGGACTCCTGCCCCCTTCCTCCAGCCTGGAATGTGAAGTGCCCCCCCACCTTGGCCCTGGCCTCCTCTGGACTGAGCCTCCTGTGGGGGTAGGGGTGCTCAGTGGAGCGTCGGCTGCAGACTGGCCGCCCGCCCCCAAATAAAGTTTACCTCAGAGCCGGGCCTGTGTTCTGCCTGTTGTCCGCCCACCCACCCCAATGAGCAGGGCACACACACACACAATGCCTTTGAGGGGGGGTTTATTCGACAAAAGACACAGTGGGGGTGGGAGGGATCGCAGGTGACCCCTTGGGCAGGAGCTCAGCGGGCCAGCACGCGGAGCTCATACGCTGGGGGCACGTTGCCCAGGCCTGTGCACTGAGGAGTCAGGTCTATGTCCTCAGGCTTCTCCATTGGGCACAGTTTGAAGCGCTGGAGGATGGTGGTGAGGAAGAGGAAGATTTCCATTCGGGCCAGGCTCGCCCCTAGGCACATGCGCTTCCCTGTGGGTGGGCAGAGGCTGTCAGTGGCCCTGGGGCCTGGCCATGGAGCTGGTGCCCAGGTTGCTTTAGCTGCCAGGGTGGATCTCAGGTCGGGTAGTGCTAGTGTCCCTCACATCTTCCTGGGAGCCCGTGTAAAGCTTCCCACTTTGTGAAGTGGGGTCTGAGGGGCCAGGGGTTGGTCCCGGGCTCCCTTTCCTTCTGACTCAAATTCAGCATTTCTCTACTCCCCAGATTCTCTCCACCACCTCTGTAACCATGCCCTGGATGGTCCTTACCTGGAGCAAAGGGCATGAAAGCCTTGTTTGGTCGGAAGGCCCCTTTATCATCCAGAAAGTTGGTTGGGTCAAAGCATTGTGGGTCCTTGAACTGGATTGAGTCCCGGTGTGCGGACACCAAGAGTGGGATGACGTGGGTGCCCTAATGGGAGTGGGAAGACAGTTAGTGCCAGCCTATCTGGGGCCTGTTGCTAGAGGGCAGAGCTGGCAGGTGGGCTGTGCTCTGTCCAGCAGCCTTGGGACTGGCTTAGGAGCCAGGGGAAAACCATGAAACCTGTCCTGGGCCCTTGCTGCAACAGGGCAATCCTTGTGCACCCCTCAGGTGGTGTCACCTTCCCTTTCACCCCTCCCCCAGTCTCCTGTGGTGACACCGTCCCTTCCACGCTGCCAATGACCTTGGCTGCCATCGAAAAAATCTTCCCCTCCTCTTCATCTCCTATCAGATGCCTTCCCCCACCATTGACTCTACCTACCTCTGCCCCTTCTTCATGCACCCTTGGTTCCATTCCGTCTTCTTACCAATGACCACCACTTTCTAATCTTGCATCTCCTGCCTACAAACACTCCCGTATCTCCCACATCCCCCTAGACCATCCTCACTGGCTATCATACTTTTCCTCTTTGTGGCTAAACTCCAGGAGAAAGCTGTCTGTTCTAGGTGCCATCTGTTCTAGGGCCCGTCCCTTCTCCATTCTAAACCTTTTTCAGTCAGACTTTCGACTGTCATCCTCCTGGAACTGCATTCCAGAGTCGTCATCCGCCATCTCTTAATTGTCCAACGCAGTGACCTTTCCTCTGGTGCCTTTGTCATTGCCTGCCCTCCTCTCTCATAGATTCTTCTCCCCTGGTTTCCCTCGTGTGTCTGACTCCTCCCCAGTCTCCTTTGCTGGATCCTCATCCAGAGCACATCCACTAACAGTCAGTGTCCCACAGGGCTCCCTCCTTTTCTCCCTCCATACCACTTCCCTGGGGGATCTCATCTGCTCTCATGGATTCAGTTCCCATCCTATGCTGCTGATTCCCAAATCGACTTAGCCAGCCCCTAAACTCTTTTTTTACATTAACCTTTTTACATTAGAGATTTGTATCTCTAACTGCCTTCTGGACATTTCCAACTGGATGCCCCGTAGGCATCTCAAACTCAACATGTCCAAAACAGAACTGATGATAATAGCTAACACCGATACAGTGCTTTGAGGTTTTCAAAGCGTTTGACACTAATTATCTCATTGGATTCTCACCACAATCTCACAAATGCTATTTGCCACCGTTTTACAGATGAGGGATCTGAGGCAGGCAGAATGACTTAGGTTAACTTTTCCAAGGTCACAGATCCTGTGTCTGAGGCTGGATTTGAGCTCAGGCCTTGGTGACTCCAGGCCCAAAACTATCCAAATTTTACTATTATTGTTGAGGTCATCACCATCCTCCCAGTCTCCCAGTGCCATCTTCAACTCTTCACCTAAACTCACTTAGTGTTATTTAACGTGTTCCCAAAGTTGTATCTCTACCTTCACACCATTTCCTGTCTATCCTTCTGCGGACCGTCTCCAGTTGTCCTGCTCTATATCTGGCCACTGGACCCAGATGGCTCCGGAGGAGAAAGTGAGGCTGGTGACTTTGCACAGCCCTCCCTCACTGAAATCCAGTTCACTTGCAAGTCATGGCATCTCCTTCCTGGTGTCACAGTACTCTTCAAGAATGAAGGACAAACAACAGTATCTATCTGTCTGTCTATCAATCATCTATCTATCAATCATCTGTCTATCTATGTATGTATCTATCTATCTGTCCTCTCTCTGCAAGATAGCAGTCAACAAGCAAAGTGGTGCAGAAAAGTCCTCTTGCAGAAAGTGGGATTTGAGCTGAATCTTGAAGGCTGGGACGTCAGGTAGAGGAGAGAGCGTCCTAGGGAAGAGGGCCAGCCAGGGATGATGACCACCACTCTTCCTAATCTTCAGTCTCCTTTTCCACTGCCTACCAAGGCTCCATGTATTTAGTGAAAAGTCAGGAGGGAGATGGTAGTGTCGTGTTCGAGGGGCAGCTGGTGTTGCTGGTGAAGAGGGGTGAATTTGGGCTTTAAAAGCCGGAAAGAAAAGACTTGTTAATTGATTCTGGAGGTGATAGGGAGCTAGTGTAGTTTATTGAGCAAGAGGTGGTGGTGACGTGGTCAGACCTATGCGTTAGGAAAATCACTTTGGCGAGGAAGGGGCAACCGATGGAAAGGCTAATGCAATGGTGCAGTTGAGAGGTGATGAGGGGCTCCACCAGGGGGGTTGGCTGTGTGAGTACGAGTGGAGAAATGTGAAGGTAGAAATAACAAGACAGTAATGGATTGAAGTGTTGAGGTGTTGAGCCTGGGAGGATAGGTGGTGTTCTTGACCATAATAGCTAAGTTCAGAAGAGGGAAGGGTTTGGGGGGAAAGAATCAGTTGGGTTTTGGACTGCCAAGAGGCAGATTAGCTCAGTAAAGAGGTTAGGGTTGGATATGGAGCCATGAAAATTATCTGCATAGAGAAGATACTGGGTCCACAGAAACTGGCAAGATCACTAGGTGAAGTAGTATTGAGGGAAGAGAGAGGGCTCAAGACAGAGCCCTGAAGGACACCGAGGGTCAGAGGGTATGACCTGCAGGAGGACCCAGCCAAGGAGACTGAGAAGCAGTGGTCAGGGAGGGAGGAGAGAAAGAAGGGTGTTCTGAAAACCTAGAGAGAACAGAGTACCCGGGAGGAGAGGGTGATCCACAGCCTCACAGGCTGCACAGAAGTCAAGAGAATGAGGCTTGAGAAAAGGCTATTGCATTTGGCCATTGAGAAACCAGTGGTGGTTTTGGAGAGAGCAGTTTTACTGCATGTTGAAGTCAGAAGCCAGATGGCAGAGGGTTTCTGTCCCTCTGCCTGGAAGGCTGTCCCTCCTCAGCTCTGCCCCTGGCTTTGGCTTCCTTCAACGTTCTGATCAACTTGGGCAGGAGGCTGCCTTTTCTGCTTCTTATCCTGTCCCCCTCTCCTGCTGCTAGTGCCTTTCCCCTGGGGTGAAACCTCATCTACAGCGCGTGCGTGCGTGCGTGCGTGCGTGTGTGATGTGTCTATATAGATCTACCAGTATCTATCTTGCCTACCTACCTACTTACCTCTCTATCCATCTATGTATGTATGTATGTATGTATGTATCTGTCTGTCCCTATCCTACCTACTTACTTGTCTGTCTTTCTGTCCATCTATCCTGCCTGCCTACCTGCCTACTTACCTGCCTGTCTCCCTTTTTCTATCTGTCTCTCTTGTCTCTCTCTCTCTATCTTGTCTACCTACCTGCCCACTTACCTGTCTCTGTTTCTCTGTCTTCACATGGTTGATTGCATATTGTCTCCCCAATTAGGCTGGGAGACTTCACTTTTGTTTTTTGGTTTTTTTTTAAATAGCCCCAGCATTTGGCACAGTGCCTGGCACATAATGAGAGCTTAATATGTGATTGTTGGCTGGCTGCAATCCCAGGACACTAGGTTCCTCCTCCTCCTCCCTGTCCTACTGGGTCTCCCCGGCCCTCCATAGACAGGGTGGATCCAAACTGGGCACCTTGGGCAGGAAGTAACCACGAAAATGGGTGTCCTGCGTGGTGGCCCGGGGCAGGCCCATGGGTAGGACGCTGATGAGTCTCTGGATCTCGTGCAGGACTGCGTTGGTGTAGGGCAGGTTTTCTCTGTCGTCCAGGCGAGGGGCCCTGTCCCGCCCCACCACACGGTCTATCTCTTCATGGGCTTTTTCTGGGGAAGCAGAGGGAGGGAGAAAGGAGGGTTCTGAGGAGACTGTCTGTCTTATTCCTGCTCACAGGACCCTACATCTCACCCTGGAAGGTCCCTCAGAGGCCATTCAGTCCAACCCCTTTGTTTTACATATAAGGAAACCGAGGCCTAGAGAAATGAAGTGGCCTGGGACCACTCAGGTGCCGAAGGCCAGGGATCTGAGCTTTTCCAGCACGCCTTCCCATGGTGCCATGGCCCCCAGGGAAGCCTCCCTCCTCCAGATGGGGGGACTCATGGAGATGAAGGGCACCCACTTGTTACTTCAGGATACTTGAGTAAGATCAGCAGTCCATAGCGAAGGGTGGTACTTGTGGTCTCGGTGCCCCCAAAGAATAGATTGTGGGTCGTCATCACTAGCGTATCCATGTAGAAGTGACTCCAGGGGTCCTGCTTTTCCTGTGGCAGAGCAAGGCGGCTGCTGCTTGGGGCAGGAGGGGCTGTCTGGGGGTACGGGGAGGTGGCGAGATCAGGCACAGGGCAGGGGAGGGATGGGCGTGGGGAAGGGACCCAACCTTGTCTATCTGATCTAGGAAACAGTCAATGAAGTCCCGAGGCTCTCTTGGCTTCCTACTCTTCTGGTGTTTCCAAATCTGATCATAGATGAA